GGTCTTCCAGGCTGGTGTCCCGAGATACTTGATGCCATTGGGGTCTTCGAACATCGCCTCCGTCTCTTCCAGGGTCTTTCCGGCGGTCTCGGGGAAAATAAAGTAGAAGTGGATGAACATGGCAGTGTTGAAGACGCCAAAGATGATGTACGTCTTCCAGCGGATATTGGCAAAGGCCGTCGGGGTGAACAGTCCCAGTGCGGTGTTGAACGCCCAGTTGCCCGAGGTCGAGAGAGCGACACCTTTTCCACGAAGCCGAAGCGGGAAGAGCTCGGGCGGGTAAGTCCACGAAACGGGGCCGAGGGTGGGGGCGTAAGAAGCTAACGGAGACGAGATTCAGATCAGATCATGTGGGGTTGAGCATGGGGTAGACAGTGGAGCATGGCAGGAAACAAGTATCATACGTACCGACGAACAAGTAGGTGCAGGCAATCAATCCTCTGGCCGCCGCCCCATGCAGACGCATCGATTCCGCCGCAACACCGTCAATTCCACCCGGAACCACCTCCCCATGAACCGCCATAATCCCCGCATTCGTATACATCCAGATCGCCATCAAAGCCGACCCCACCAGCAAGGGAAGTCTGCGACCCCAGCGATCCATCCAGATCAGAGCTGGGAGAGTCATCAGCACGTTGATGATGTACTGGATGGACGAGGCCAGCAGAGTGGAATTGCCCGTGTAGCCGGCCATGGAGAAGAGGTAGGTGATGTAATACACTATGGACACGATCAGCCAAGGCAGACTGCCGCCACGGGGTCATACATACTCATCACGTTCATGCCCGTTAGCTGCGACCAAATCTGCGTGAACAAGCCGATCAGGGTCCGATTGAGCATTTGCGGTTTGAACAGATCTAGGTAGGTGACGTTCTTGTACTGTCGCTCGAGCTCACACATGTCGCGAATGTCTTGCATTTCAAGAGCGACGAAGGGATGATGCAAGTCGCCTTTGGCATGAACCAACGCCAGGACGCGATGGCATTCCTCCCACCGATCCTTGCGTGCCAGCCAGCGAGGTGACTCGGGCAGCAGCATCATCCCTCCGAGCAAGAACACGGCCGGGAGCATCTGCAAGCCCCATGGAACACGCCACGAGGCGGTGCTGTAGTTGTAGGACTTCTGTCCCCCGATGTAGGAGCATCCGTACGAGATACTGAAACTTCTGTGAGCAAAGAGTCGAGGCAGAGGACGGTTGAGTGAGAATCGCCACGACTTACTAGAACATTATCAAGATTCCCCATGTGATGGCCCACTGTTGCATGCCGACGAACCGACCACGCTTCGAGGGTGGAGACAGTTCGCTGATGTAGACCGGGACCTGGGCCGATTCGATACCGACCGACAAGCCGTTGATGATGCGACCCACCACCAGCATGCCGATGTTCTGCGATGCACAGATGATAATCGATCCGATCAACCTGCAAATAGTTGGCGTGTGATTAGCATGAAAGCAATTAACACATACTCCCGGAAAGTAGTGACTAGGTAGTACCAGGTACTCACCAGATAACACAGCCAACCATGATGGAAGTCTTTCGGCCAATACGATCCGACAGCGGTCCGGAGATCAAGGCGCCCAGCCAAGAGCCGGCGGCCATGGCAGCAGTGATCCCACCCTGATTCAACGAGGTCGGACCCGAACAGTCCTCATCATCAGTAAAGGGAGGTCCCTGCGGACCCTGGTTGAAATAGCATTTGTAGGAGTTCTCATTGAGTTGGGCGGACAAGGAAGAGATATCGAAGCCAAAGAGGGCGCCACCAACGACGGAGACACCCGCAATCACGTAGATGTTGCCAACCAACATGACTTTGAGTGAGGGGATGGATGTTGGAGTGAAGATGGGAACACGGGGGGAGGGAAGGAAAAAGCCCAAGGGACCGGGAGGGAAGCCATGGGCTCAGCTTCCTTAAAATAGTGTCCGACTGTTAGGTGGCTGTCATTCACTCCTCACTTCTTCCTTCCCCATCATTCACACTTCTGCTGCCAACCTTGAAACCCCGCAGCCCGTAGAGTTTCAGGCCATCGTGCCACGCCCCAGGAACTTTCTACGGCACTACGGTACCATCGCCTGTCCGTAGGCTGATTGGATCCCCAGTCCTCTCTGACGACGAGAGTTTGAGAGCGATGCCGAAGAGGGATCGGAATCCTGGTCCGGGGGAAGCAGCTAGCCTTGAACAGGACCAGATTAGGCTCGTACTGTACAGGCCAGTGACTGGGATGGTGGCAGTATCGGGGAGGATCAGGATCCTGTTGTGAAACCCTAAGCAGCTGGTGGTACCCCCGGTATAGGGATCGAACCGTACAACAAGCTGAACCGGACGACCATAGGGCGAGAATTTTTCCGAAGATACCGGTGATTGTAGAAGAAGATCTTCCCCGGATTTCTGGCGAGTGTTGTGACTGTCGTCTCCAGGAAAACTCACATGGGAAAGAGAAGTGACTGCACTATGATGGGTCCGGGTCCACTCCACTCTTGCTTGCTCCATAGCGGGCGGGCGGGGAAAGCGCCCAATGCTTAATCGCTTATGCAAGCTTTGGGTCGGCGGATGGGCTGAAGGTCTGAGCCCGATTGGGGCAAGACGGGCCCAGCCGACCGACTCTTGGTCTTCCCCGCAGAAGTCACTACAACACTGACACTGGTGAATGGAATCATACAACTGGGTGGGTGTCTGGTGTCTGTATGTTAGTCAATGGGCGTGATCAGCAAGGAATCAGTCTCGCTAGTTCATTGTCCCGTCCAGTCGAGCTCCCCATCATGCCCACTGATTGCAATGATGTCCGACCCCCATCTTCAAAGGGCAGTTACGTTGCACATCACTGCAACAACCCGGTAAACCTGCTGGGGGAGATCCTGGGCATACGTAGTCTCACCCTCCTGCTGCTGCTGCTGCTGCTGCTGCACCACCGCACCTCTCTTTCGCAACGTGTCTTGCCGATAGCCGGCCAGCTTCACAAACACGCGCCAGATCACATGGCTCGGTCGAGGGATGGAGGAGCAGGGACGTCTTCTGACTTCACTCTGCACCAGTAGCCATGCGTTGCTTGGACCTGGGGAGTAGTGCATATAATATAGCAAGAGCTTTGCTCTTTTTACAAAAGGTTACTGGATGCTGATGACTCCGACCGGCATCAGCTCCGGGCGAGTGCTGTCGGTGGCTGGTCGGGCTGCTGACAGCACCAACCTTCGGTCGCAGAGCTTGTCTCGACCACCAACGCATTTCTGCACATATGTATCTTACTGGACGGGGTGTGATGACTCCTAACGAATCTGCAATGATTTGTTCTTGGCTGCCTGTAAGCATTCCAGACGACAGCTCCAAGCGGGCAGACCGGACAGTCCGAATGTCAACTGGACCGGGGCCTTTCTGATTGATGAGAAACCCCCCGTCGAGTGATGGATCACATGTCGCTCTGGCGGTTGCTCTTGGCAAGCCATAGTATTCAGTTGTTCCAGCTCCCCGCCTATGGGTGACTGCTGACACGGACACTCGGCTCTAGGAGTGCTAAGCAGAATCCGGCGAGAGATCTACCACTTCTCCTGCACCTTTCTGTCTCCTGTATCAGAGTTGTCAACAGTGATGGTGCTCCCGCGAAGAAGCAAAACAGCAATCTGAAACCACCCGAGGGTTTTTTCACTGGCCTGGCTTGCGCCACCTACGCGGTGCCCAAACCACGCCACAAGCTGCACTTTGGGATGGAGTCAGACGATGGCCAGACGCATCCATCGTCAAGCCACTCGACCCATCTACCCAATGGTCTTGGCAATTGTCGCCAAGATCATTGCTCGAGATGCGGGCGGTGAGACTGACCAGAGTTGATTACTAGGTCGCTAAGGTACTTATTGATCATTGAGCGCTGTGGAAGCTGTTGGAGCTGTTGAAGTTGGTGGTAAACTAAGAACAGCACTCGACTATTCCTTCGGTTCTAATTCCATCAACATTTTCAAGTATCCGCCATTTTTGTTTGGCATTTTGTGGAGTACAGTGCAAAGCGGGGCTTAGGAACATATACTGGCCGCGGGAGTGATGGCGGAGCTGAGATAAGACAAACGGTAGTTGAAAACCAGCCTGGAAGACAAACATACGATCTGGCAACTCAAGTGATATACGATTGATAAGTCTTCATCCTCAGTAAATAGACTCAGTAGTCGTTGTAGTATGCAGTAGGTATGTTCTTTCCAGTTGTCCACCCGTCCCCTCCTGCTGCTCATACTTCCTCAGGGACTCAGCTCAGTGACTCCGAACTAGTCCCAATGGGGAGGCCGAAAGACGCGCGGTGCAGAGATTAATTGGGTTTAGTGCCTGAACCTTTCCGCTCTTTTCTGGAGAGTCAGACCCTCTGGTTGGCTGCAGGCTGTGTATTGCAGCAAGTTGCCGCGCGATCTAACCCCTTTGAGATGGGTAACCTGAGGCCGTCCTTCATTCCAGGGCCAGGCAAATCAGGAATCGCCCGCCAAGTTTCTGACTTCGATCGTCATCCTCTCTTACTTCTCCATCTCTCACTCTCTGTCTCTCATTCTCACTTGCTCACTCACTCACTCACTCACTCACTGTCCCTCTCTCCTGCATATTCTATCTCTCTCTCTTCCCTAATCCCTCACTGATCCTCTCCTCCATCTCCCCTCCCCCCCCCTCCCCTCCTTCACCCACTCTTCTTTTTTCGCACCCTCGTACGTTGGTTGTTCAATCGTTGTCTTCGTCTTCCGCCTCCGCCTCCGCCTCCTCCCCCTCCGCCCTTCCGTTCTTTTCCTTCTCCCAATCCTCTTCTTCTCTTCTCTTCCATCCTATCTATCGCCTGCACGGTGATCTTTCCGTCCGCCGTCATGCGATTTTCGTCCGCCATCTCCCCCACCCACCCCCGGCGATGATCCCGTCTCTTGGCTTCGTCAGCTTCTGTCTTGTCGTCCATGAACAACCCTGCTTCGGGTCATGACCGTCCGCCGCCCTTCCCCCCATCTCCATCGCCCTCTCCTTCTCCAGAGCCTGCCTCATCAAGTATGTTCAGGCGCCTGGAAAAGAAACTCTATAACTTCTGGCTGCCTGTCATCAGTGCGTGCTGCTCCTTTGAAACCTCGATGGTTACTCTATCGCTAATCTCCCTTCTAGACCGTCATCGTCTCCCGCCCTTCCTCCGATCGCGCCAAACCTCGCCCGATGGACCACCGCTCCCGCCAACCACCCCTCTGGGGGCATGGCGGCCCATGGCCTTGCGCCCCATGTTTCTCACCCTGATCACCGCAATAATGTTCGCTTCGTTGATAACATTGGAGGTTCTGCGGCGATACTGTGAACAATATGGAGGACTGGTCTTCTTCTCCGACACCGACAATGTCTCCAACCTGCAGTCATTCGCCTACAACTACCTGCCCATCATCGGCGCCCTGGCCCTGGTCACCCTCTGGACCTTTGTTGACTACGATGTATTGCGCTTGGAGCCCTACTTCCAGATTGCGCGACCGGAAGGTGCCCCCGCCTCGGTTCTCTTCATCAATTACAACTTTGGCCAGTCGTTCCTCACACCCCTTACGTCTGCACGGCGCCGCCATTGGATCGTCCTTCTGGTTTCCGTCACCACCGTGCTCATTCGCATGTTTCTCCCCGCCCTGCAGAGTACCCTCCTCGAACTCCGTGAGATCAACATGCTCGACGACGACGACATGAAAACATGGCCGCAGTTGTTGGATCTCGACCACCAGGCGGAGTGGATGTTCTCGCAAGAAAGCAGCCCGAACACAACCCTCGCCTCAGTCTTGACCACCAACACACAACTGCGCGACTCCCGCTCGTCCAACTACGCCGTGGCTCCGGTCGAAATCAGCCTCGAAGATCGGCAGGAGAACACCGTGTGGACCTTAAACGAGACTATCTACTGGGCTCAACTATCCTGTCGCGATGTCATGATAGACAATCACCTGTCTGTGTCCGTGAACGATAACTCGACCTACCCACCGGCCGTCTCGTGGAACGTGACTGATGTCAAACTGCCCGATATCAACGGAAGCGACAACGGCTGCATCTTGGATTTTCACTATAAGAATATTTACTTCGATAACACCGATTACCTGCAGATTCGCTACTGGGAGCCTGTTTGGCCCAACCGGTCACACCATTCTCCGGATATGAGCTCCGCGTTCACTGCCCGTGGTTGCGACAACCCCTACGACTTGTATGGCATCGTTCTCTCGGTCAACGCGACCGAGGCCGGAGCTTACAGCATCAGCGAAATGGGATCCGAATTCACCTCAACAGCCACGATATTTGCCTGCAAGATTGATTACCGCCAAGCGACCGCGCGACTGAGTATGCACGCCAACAGTTCAATCACCAATGTCACCGTCTTTCCTGACACCGAAACCACCTTGTCCGACCAGCTTTTCAATATCAACGCTTTCCAAGGACTGCTAGCGCAACGTGCGCCGTACACGGGGGACATGCTGTTCATCGAGAATAATCAGACCAGTGGCGACACGACCGTGACGGAACTACCCGTGATCAGTCAGAACGTGCGCGACTTGGAGCCGCTGCTGGTGTTGGATGCATCGACCGTGATGACTCCGGATGAGTTCGAGTCGAAAGTGACACGAGGCGTTGTCCAGACGTTTGTGCTCACTTTCGCGCGGCTCTTCAACCCTGACCAGGAACCGACCAGCGTGCCCGCCTTGCGATTCTCAACCCAGGTCACGATATCGGTGGTCACCTTCGCTGCTTGGTGCTCGGAGATATTACTAGCCTGTGGAATTGTGCTCGCCGTCTGCTTGATCTACTTCTATCAGTCCCGCCCGAATATCCTGCAGAGTGATCCAGGCTCCATCGGGGCCATGTGCAGTATGCTGACCGATGTGTTTGGGCCGACCAACATCTTGGCCGATCCTCAGACGGAATTCCATCAGTTCTCCACGCGCCAATTACGCCAGATTCTCAACACCTGCCGCCTCCAATGGCAGCAGGGCCCGGAAGGCCCCCGTTTAGGAATTGTCTCGGCGGATGGTAGGCTGCCCTGGTTCCAGATAATGACAATACTTTACTGACTCGGTGCAGGTTCGCCAGTGATCTTGCCTTACCAAACGCGGACGCGCGTCGACCCAATGCCCCACTTTCTGGTCGTACCGATCTTCATCATCGAATTCCTGTTTTTAGCTGCAATCATTACCATTATGGGATTGACGGTTGCGTCCTTGGCGCATGACGGCAGCTTCCAGCATCTGACCCAGTCCGGTTCAAGCTTCCTGCAAGTCGTCCTTTCATTCCTACCGTCGGTGGTTGCCTCCTCGGTCGGTGCACTTTGCAATTCTATTCTGCGCAATATAAGCATTCTGGAACCCTGGGTCCATCTTCAACGTGGCATGGCCACGGCCCAGTCGTCGTTGTCGTTGAATTACGGATCCCAAAACCCTTGGGCCGTATTTCTCAAAGCCATCCAGGATCGCCATGTTCTTCTGGGATTGGTGTCCTTCACTTGTATTGCCAATGTGGTGTTGACCGTGGTCGCAGGTGGTCTTTTCAATCAAGAACTCACCACCTCGTTTCTGCCCTCCAAATCGTTGTATGCCAACTATAGCCAGTCGCACTTTCGACAAACTGACTTCTCAGCCGACTTCACCGAGTTCGACCTGATCCAGACTAGTGTGACTAGCGGGGTCCCGTTGTTGTCGTGGATGGCGGCCAACTACACTTTTCTCCCGATCAGGAACACCGATCCAGATCCCGACGTGATGTATGGCGCTACGACGCTTGGAATCGGCGCCGAACTCGATTGCATCTCTCTCGACGTCAAAAAGAGCATGCACCAGGCCGACCGCACCCAGTATTGGATGTATCATCCCTTCAACAATGCGAGTCGAGAGTGCACGGTGAACATGACTGGCTTGACGCGACCCCACGAAGCCATTGCGCTTTCGATTCATTTTCTCTCGCCCTCGGCTTCTTCCGACCGGGACGAGTGTCAGGAGTCGACCTTCATCGTGGTCGGTCGATGGAACTACACCGCTGCGTCAGCTTATACCAGCGAAAATACCATCGCTCTTCACTGCGAGCCGAGGGTGCAGATGCAAAATTTCAGCGTTACCTTTGATCAACGCGGTCAAATATCCGATGTCGACCCGCTTGATGGGACGTCCATTACCTCTGGTGCCATGTATGAGAATGCTACCGCGGCCATGGGGCAGTTCAACAAGATCTTTGCCGCTATCCCGCAGAGCTTTGTTGGGGAAGAACCGGGGCACAACGGGTCTTATGTGTCTTCGTACGATTGGGCCGGGTTTCTGGTGGCCCGGCTGTACAAACAGAGCCAGACGCATGTTCTACCTCTGCAGGTTGAGGCCCTGATGGAGCATTCCAAGGAGGTATATCAGTGGGTATACACCACTTACTTTTCGGTGTGGCGGAACATGTATCTTCTGCCATTGAAAGAGGCCCGTCCCGCCGCCAACGGGACGGTGATCTCGAACACGTGGGCTATGGTCCCGTCCGTGCCGTCGCTAGCTATTGCCCTCATCATCATCGCATTGGATACAGTGGTGGTGCTGGTGGTCTTTGGCAAACGACGGGGACGGTTCCGGGGCCCACGCATGCCCCGGTCGATCGGGGCGATCATCCCGTGGATCGCCAATAGTCGCATGTTGGGCGACTTCACCAACACCTACGCGATGCCGAACTCGCAGCGGCGGGAGCATACCACGCGGCTGAACAAACGGTATGCATTCCGGACGTTCCTGCAGGACGACGGGCGGTTGCGGTATGCGGTGGACGAGGAACCGATGGTGGTTGAAGATAAACCTCCTCCGGAAGGGGGCGAACGTACAGGGGAGGAGGCGAAAGGGGCTGAGGTGATCGAGCTGCAGCCGCTGGGCGAGCCGGAGACGCCTCCTGCTCGGCAGGAATCATGAATTTATGCGAGATGTAATGAACAATTAATGATGTAACAGTAATAGCATTGGATCGGGTGGGATGTTTAGCATGGGCCGGTTGGTATGGGCTGGGTGGCATCAGGATTTGACTGGGTTTGGGGTCACATAGATTGGAGTTTGGAATTTGTACATAGATCTGGCTGTATAGGGAAAATAGTTATGATAAATTTTTGACCAGTGAGTAGATGAGGGATCAGGACATTCACCGCCTTCTATTGTAGTGATTGCCGTAGATTTCTGTAGTGAATGGAAGGAATAGAGAGGCTATTCACTTCAATTACAGTGAAGATCACGCTCCTCTTGCCTTGCCTGTTGATCAACCATAGGATTCTCATCCACTCCACCTCCTTCCTCAACTATACTTCTTAACTTCCAGACAACATCCCATCCGGACTGTTCTGTCAACGCGACCGTGACAAGCCTGATCCTTACACTGCGAATCATCACAGGCAGACGTTGATGACATCCTCCGACTTGATGTGATTCTGCTGGCTCTGACGGTCCGCAAAAAGCTATTTCCCCAGACATGGTCCCTGCGAACCAGAGTTCGGTTCGGAATTAGAATGCCACGTTATTCAGAACTCCAACTCCAAGCTCCTCGAAAGCTGGAGATTCGCTGTCTTCGGGATAGGATGGAGAGCTACGAGGGAGGGAATTACCCTGTGAGAACGCAAGCGAGGAGGATGTCTAAATTTTTGAAATCGTGCTGGCTAACAATCAGGGAAGAGCGACTGTCTCACTGCCACGGCCCGAATGATCCGTTGTAGTCCTGAGGCAATATGTCACGGTCATCAGAGCCCCAAGAGCAGAGTCCTGTGAACCTGCACATCTGCAGTCCCCGCGATAGGATGGAGAGCTACGAGGGGGGAAGCTACCATAATCTGCTGTATGTACCTTCCTTCGCTCATTGACTAAGGTGGAAGGAGCCCTTGTAATAACACTGGGCTGAGTATTTCCTCCGGTCAGCAAGAAAGGCTGCTCTCGGTGGTCCCCGAGTCGTTCTTTGGCGCCAGTGGTGTTCTGGGTACGCAATCCTCCTTCTATTTCCCTCGTTTTTTGTCTGTCAGCCAATACCATGTTGACATCTCGCTGATTCACTCTTTACTACCAGACTGAAGAGGGTATTTTGACCCCCGAGAAATGCCTACCGAGGGGACAAATGCTTCGACCTGGCGGACGGCCCTGATACCCCAGGCACGAGTAGATCCGGTGCTCACGTTTCAGGCCATCCATATCTGACTGAAGGCGTCGTCGTCGGACATGGTCGTCGTCGGCCCCCGCCAGTGTCGGATCCCTCCGATGGACTCGGTCACTTGCCATCCCCAACCTTTCCGAATAAGTCGCCACGAGGCGTGGCTTTGACTCGGCCATCTTACGTGAGTGTAGCCTTTGGTCGACAGCAAATGAGTCAGATAAGTGAGAGTCATTTGTGAGCAATAGCTCGGCCGACGAGCGATCGGGTGAATTCACGAGTTGCCTTGTTGGTCGTCCGCCGGTGCCCGTGGCAATGGCCAGCCCTGCCGATTGGCTCGAGTGGCATGGGGCCGCATGCAGCGGGGGTGCAGATTATCGAGGGTCTATCGATGCAGGCTGGCATCATGCTGGGTGATCTGTCACATCGCCGGGGTGTGATTGGAAGAAGGGGCAAGAACACCCGTTTCTGCCAGATGGCATTTGCCTCAGCATTCGAGGAGACGCACCACGGAAGGCGAAGCAAAGCGAAAGAGAGTCAGTCACTGTGAACTGCGCTGGAGGCTGAGTGTTCCTAGTGGTTGGCCTTAACCAGGGTGCGAGCCAATGGTCAGCCCTGCCACGGGGTCAGATGCATAAGGCTGCCACTGCATGGATGGGGGCGGCCGGATCGACGGCCAGCGAAGTTTGTGCGCTCAACCACCGTTGCTGCACCCTTACCGGGCGGCGGAGAGGATTGGTCAATTTTGGGCTGATGGCTTGGCCAAATCCCTGTTCTCCATTTGTGGATGGGTGGATGGGTGGGATACAGGCTCTGCCCCTCAGCCACGATGCAGGGCTATTGGCAGGTTGCCCGATTCAGCTGGGGTGGGCGACAGCCTGGAGGCATTTGGGCAAGATATAAGGACCTCATCACGCAGGTCTGGGTCGGAGTTGGTCCAATTCAACCCCACCCCAAATTGAACCATGACTTACGATCCATGCGACTGCGACCGGCCGCCGGTGCACAACAAGCCCACCCAAGAACTGGTGCTCTGTTTCGACGGCACAGGCAATACGTTTCGGGTTGACGGCGGCGAGAGCAATATCCTCAAAATCTTTCGGATGCTGGACCGCAGCAAAGAGAATCGATGTAAGCCTTGCCTCTTCAGTAGTCAACTTTCAAAACATACTAACCAACTTTCTCTTCAGACTGCTATTACCAACGTATATCCCCCCCCCCAATTTTGTGAATCTTCCACACATACTAACCCTCCCAAGCTGGCATCGGCACCGACATAACCCCAGGAACATTCGCCAACGTCGCCTTCCGGCCCTTCAGCAACCTGCCCGCCAGCAAAGTCATCGACCAAGCCCTAGCAACCTCTTTCGACCAACACGTCATCGGCGGCTACCGCTTTCTAGCGAGGCGCTGGCGCCCGGGGAGCCACATCTACCTCTTCGGCTTCTCACGGGGCGCGTACACCGCACGCTTCCTCAACGAAATGCTCGACTTCGTGGGCCTCATCTCCGCCGACAACGAAGAACTGATCCCGTTCGTATGGCAAGCCTTCCTGTCGTGGAAATACGCGCACGGGGAGCAGGAAGCGCGCCAAGCCGACAACTTCCTCCGGCTGTGCCGGGACACGATGTGCCGGTCCGTCGGGCTCGTCCATTTTCTAGGACTGTTCGACACCGTCAACAGCGTCGCCGAATTCAACAAGGACGTGCTGAAAGACATGGAGACGATGCCCCGCCCGCGCTACATGCGGCACGCGGTGAGCATCGACGAGAAGCGCATCAAGTTCCAGCCCGTGCTGTTCGAGCGGCTGCGCGGCGCGCACGCGAAGAAAGGGCGCGTGAGTACGTGGGCGGAGCGGGCGGAGCAGCAGTTCTGGGGCGTGCCGTTGAGCCCCGTGCTGGATACGGATTTCGAGGAGGTGTATTTCGCGGGGGATCATAGCGATGTTGGCGGCGGGCATCCTCCAAGTTATGCAGGGGAAGGGGCGAGGAGCTGGCCCGTCAGTCAGATTCCGTTGATGTGGATGGTGCAGGAGGCGACGCATGTCGGGTTGACGTTTGATCCGGTGCAGTTGCAGGAGTTGGGGTGTCATTTGGTTCCGGTTTCTTCGGCGGGTTCTTCTTCTTCAGAGGATGGGGATGATGATGGTAGGGAGGGGAGGTTGATCGAGGTAGAGGACGTGGCAAAGCAGCAACAACAACAACAGCAAAGGCTTATGGAATTCGACCCCGCGATCGTGCACATGGCCGAACGCGCCCCGCTGCACGATTCCCTCGAGTACGACTCCGGCAAAGGCGTCGAGACGCTCTTCTGGCGGTTGCTCGAGTGCCTGCCCATGAAACGCCCCAAGGTGAACCGCGACGGCTCCGTGAAGGAGACCCGGTGGCATGTCGGGGGCCTGCGGCGGCCGCTGCCGGACGGGGCGCGCATCCACGCCAGTGTGATCCACCGGCTGCAGCAGGACCCGGAGTATCGGCCGTATAACCTGGGGTTGGGGCACAAGCGGGTGCCGACGACGACGTCGCTGGACCGCCACCAGCATCAGATCGAGAGGAGGGATATCGGGCAGTGGCGACGGATGCAGCATGGGGGACTGTGTGATTACTACGTGCAGGTGCAGGGGCCTTTGCCGGGGGGGAGTGCGGGGGGGTCGCGGTGTGCGTCGCGCAAGAGTACTGCTTAGGGGTGAGGGGTCAAGTGTATGCTAGTCGGGTGTTTGTAGACAATGCTTTCCTTCCTACCTTCCCTGTTCCCGGTTCACATAACCCAACGTAACAAGGAAGTGACTTAGACTCGACGAGGATTCATATTCATATTCATTAATACATATAGTCCATATTACGTCTATCCCCCACCCCCCATTAACACCGTCATCACCCCCTCAACCTAAACCACACCAGCCTAGAAAAGCTTATACCCACCCGGCATCAGCGTCTGAAACACCCCCTCGGGATCATAAGCACTGGCAATCTCCTGCAACTTCTCCAAATTCTCCGCGCCATACCCGGAGTAAATCTCCTGGAACCACGCCGCATCACCCATGTAGTTGAAGGGATCATACAACCCCGCCGCATCGGTGGCATTGTTGATCAGCTCGGTCGTCTCGACGACCCACTCGCCCACGATGGAGTCGTACTCGCTGCCAATCCACTCGACCACCTCGGCGTAACACAGGTAGTTCTGGGTGGCGTCGAGGCCCAGCGCGTTGCCGCCGCGGGCGGTGGAGGCGTCGATCCAGTTGGCGCCGATGGGCTGCCAGTCCAGCTCGATGATGGAGATGTTGGCCACGGGGATCTGGGCGTACAGCTTGGGCAGCTGCGCCGCGAAGGTGGCGTTGATGATCTGCACGCCCTGCAGGAGGGAGTCGTAGGTGGTTGCTTTGATGGTGCCGGCGACGAAGATGTCGCTTTTTTCTTGGTTAGTGTTTTTGGTTTTGCCGGGGTGAGTGTTTAGGGTTGGGGGATAGGAGGAAGGGGAGCGGGCTGGGCTGGGCTGGGCTGGGCTGGGCTGGGCTGGGCCGGGCTGGGTAAGGATGGGACATACTTAATGTGCGGGGTGACCACCGCACCCATCTCGACGGCCATCTCGGCCACCGTCTTGAAGCCCATCGTGTTCGACACGGCCGGGATATCGGTGAACACCTTGAGCGCGTCCGGGTAGCTGACGTCGGGGCTGTCGTAGAAGAGGATCACCGAGCCGACCGCCGAGCCCTCGGAGGGCACCACGGCGGGCACGACGTGGGTCTTGGGGTCGGTGTTATTGGCGGCGAACGCAGCCGTTGCCTGTGCCTTCTCGTCAGTCCTGTCCTCTACTCGACTCGTCTCATTCTCATGATCCACCGGGTCAGGGAAAACGCACGGCCAGGAAATCCGGGATGTACTCCTCCGCGACCGTCCAGGTGCCCGCCCACACCTGGGTGGAGGCGATGGTCTCGATGTCGAAGCGGGTCACGAGGCCGAAGTTGCTGCTGCCGCCCTTCAGGGCCCAGAAGAGGTCCGCGTGCGCGGTGGCGTTGGCCTCGACGATGGTGCCGTTGGCCAGCACGACCTCGTAGTTGACCACCGAGTCGCACGAGAACCCGACCTGGTTGCCGTAGTAGTTCACGCCGCCGGCCAGGAGCAGCCCCGGCACGCCGACGGGGCCCAGACGGCCTCCCGGTGCGGTGAGGTTGTAGGGTTCCAGGTAGTCGTAGATCTCTTGCCAGCTATTCGGACATGTCAGTACTTTCTCGAACGAGAGTTGCGGTAAGCAAGGCAAGGCCACGAACCGGAAGCCAGGACCCATGTGCAGCAGCGACTGATCGGCGTTCAACTCCAGGGTGGTCAGGTTGGACATGACGATCAGCACGCCGTTGTCGATGTTGTTGGATCCCTGCCGATCACTTTCGTTAGCAATCAATCACGCCGGAAGAGGAAAAAGGTGCAGGTGCAGGGGAAGAAGGCACTGCAGCATACCCGAATGCCCATGTGGCCGCCACCGCGCACGGCGAACTCGGCCTGCGCCGCCACCAGCTTCTCAATGCCCCGCGCCAGCTGCGCGCTCGACTGCGGCCGGAACACGCACCCGGGCGCCATGATCTCGGTGTTGGACCAGAAGTTCTGCGCCTCGTACTCGTACACCGTCGTGCTGGGCAGGTAGACCTCGTCCAGGGCGCCGTTCAGCACGTTGCAGCCCTTGGTGAGGTTGCTGGCGCCGGCGAGGCCGGCGAGCGGGAGGACGCGGGTGAATTTCATGGTGCAATTCTTCTTGAAAGCACAAGAATGACAAACGAGACAACAGAGATGAGAATTGAATGAATCCTGGGAGACCAAAGAAAAATCGGGGACCAGGTGAGGCTTTTAAAGGCTACGGGCTACGGGCTACAGCCTAGCTGGCGTTGGGGGAACGAACGATAACCTCCGAACTCAATTGCAACTTGCAAGCCAAGTGATCAGGCCAGACTCATCGCAGTAAGGTCGATGCAGGCCACTCCGCGGAACAACCAGAAGAAAAGTGGAGGAGCTGCGTTTGCATGAATCAGGTGTGCCTGATCGGAGTGGGGAGGCCAGAAGACGAAGGAACACAACACCGAATGCGTGCAGAAAAAAAAAACGGGCTCACCGCGCAGAAGCAAGGCGGAAGGACAGAAGAATGGTTCTAGTCTGGTTTGCTAGGCCACACCCGGCTTAGCGGTCTTGCTAGATCACTGGACAACGAACGGGGGTGGATGGAAAGGGATTAGAGGCGCTGCAATAGTCTCGAAAGTGGGGAACTTATCGCCCGGGTTGGGGGGGGGGGGGAGAAGCAGGCAATAGCCGAGGGGGGCACTAACTTACCACCCACGTGGAAGAAGGATTGCGCCAATAGACTCCTTCTCATAAACTGCCGCCATCTTATACAGGTGTACCGTGTACGGCACTGTGCATAGCGCTTCTGCACGGATCGGAACCCATTTCCTTGCCGGAGGATGCCGTGCGTGCAGAACGAGGTGAGCCGTTGGGAGGGTCGGGATGGTTGGTGGGTGTCCGTCTTCCGGATCAAGTACCGCATCTGGACGCTTCGAACTTGGGCGTAGCCCTAATCCCCTACGGAAATTTCCCCCTGTCTCGTCTAGACAGCTGTCATTTGAATTAGAGATTAAGCAGGTTCCAACCTGCGATTCAATGCGGTCCCCTATCCCCTCTTAACGCCGTGATTACCAAGCAAGAGCCAGCACCGACCTGATCCACTTGCTGACACCGACACTGACAGCACATGGCATGGCGCCATGACAGCTCCACCAGCCCAGAGACAGAACAGAAAATGGGACAAAAATGCAGACGAAATAATCCCAGCGCAAGAAGCTGTGGAAGACAAAAATAGAACAAGAAAATAATCCCTCAAATATGCATCAATATACCGTATCATCAGCTATCGCAGGTCCGTATTACTATCCACATTAAACTCCACCGTCCGGATAATCCCCTCCGTGCTGCCCTTGCTGCGGTGCAACGCGGCCCCCGGCGTCGTCGTCCCCGGTAGGATATGCTCCTCGCTGTCGTCGTTGGTGCCCCCGTGCAATCGAGTGGAGTAGTGATTGCTGGCGGGCGCGAACTCGGGCGCATCGCGGGGGATGGAGCCCAGCGGGTGGCCGTATTTGCGCGAGGCCGACTCGTGGTAGCCGCCGCTGTGCGTCGAGAGACCCAGCAGGCGGGGGAAGTAGCGGCGCACGAAGGGGCGCATCGCGGTCGTGCACCCGCCGATGATCCCCAGGTTGAGCTCGATGGTGCACCACATGAGTGCGTTGGTCGTGGTCCCTGTGCTTTGTTTTAGTCTCCAATCTTATGGTGGGATGAGGAGGAGCGAGAGGCGGGAGCGTACAAGTGAGGTCGGTGCTTTCGAGCAGGGTGTATAAACTGGCGAGACGGATGCAACTGATGACTCCGACGCTATCCTCCTTGTTAGCATCATTGATGCCCTCAAACGAAACAAAAAGGACTGGAACCCTCACATGCACCCCATAGCCAGCATAGCACCAACCGCGAATTTCTGTCGGAACGGCATCTGCAATCTCCGCAGCCACGGACTACCACCCCGTCAGCATCACCCCCTACAATCACCAAGAGGAAAAACGCACATCGGAACCAACGTCGTCATGAAGTCCGTGAAAATGCCCAATCCCGCATTCGCAAAGTAAAACACCGGTCGGTTCATGCACGTCGCGTTCGTGATCGAATAGTCCCACGAGGCGGCCACGGGGCTGCAGCTGAAGATGTTGGCCAGCACGCTGGCCACGTTGTAGCCCACCGCGATGAAAATGACGGCCCAGACGGCGTAGTGGAAGGTCTTGCTGGGGAAGATGCGCAGGTAGAAGATCAGGACGGAGACTTTGGTGAAGCCGGTCCCGGCGCAGTAGATGATGGCCGCGACGACGTTGAGCTATCGCCGTTAGTCAGATTTGCGCGTGTGGTTGGAGGTGGAGGGGCCGGGTGGAATTTACCCTCAGGAACCACGGGGTGAGAGAGCTGTACGGGACGTCCCACATGTGTTTACCCAGACCCCAGTTGAGCACTGTCCATTAGCTTGGTGGTTGCGGTTGGAGCAGGGTATGGATGGCTTACTGTCGAGGGTGACGCCGGTGAGGATGCAGGAGAGAACCTGTTGGTCAGTTGCGATGCACGTGAGGAGTATCATTGAGGAGGCAGCTTACAACTGAGATGATCATCAGGTCTGGAGTATTGTTAGTATATTATGCTCGATACTCCGGAGCGAAGGAGACCTACAATCATCATATGACACACTGCGCACCAGGTAGATGCGCGTCCACATGCGCACGACCAGCGCAATCACCGCCAGAGGCAGGAAGACACAGTTGACCACAAGGAACTTGAGGCCGCACGACGGGGGGTCGACGAAGTTGGAGACCATCCCGGCGGGCGGCGCCATGGCCGGCGTGATGGAGGAGCTGTTGGTCATGGTGTGCTCAACTCGGCATGATCTGGGCTTGATCTCTGTCGATGGGTGAGAACAAACACCCTAGTAAAAGAAAGAAAGAAACAAAGAAAGGGAAAAGAGTGACAGATGAGAATAGATCTGGGGAAGGAAAAAAGAGAAGGGGAAAAGAAGAAGCACAGACTGTAGCCCGGAGATATACTGTGTAGGTGACAGACAGGCCAACGCCAGGACTGCAGCGGAGACAGTGAACCAGCAGATAAGGGAACAGTGACCACTGCACCAGCCAGGCTACACTTCGGTGCACTCTGTCATATACAATTACCCGCTGCTACAATCAACCAAATTCTTTCTCTAGAATGGGCTGCTCTCCCCTCATACCAGAGGAGGAAACGACGCGCTACGCTACGTAAAAAGCCCTGTCCTGCACCAAGAAAAGTGGCGAACTCAATTTCGCCCGCTAATGGAGGGACTTGTTGGACTACTGAGACTATGTGCTGCAGCGCACGTTTTGGCGCTGGGCGACCGTGTATCCGGAGCAGGGACAAGACGAGACTAGTTGGTTCTAGTGCTGCTCATGAGACCCAGCTGGCTGGCTGGCTGGCTGGCGGGTTTTGTTTTGGTGTCCCAGACAAGAATCCAATTTTCAGACTTTCGGGAATTCGTCCCCGGTGAGTGAGTCAATCGAAGGGGGATGTTGTGTCCTATTGCTCATGATCGCATCCCATTCCCCTCTTAAAACAGGAGATCGTGACGATCACAGCTTGTTTCCCCTCGCTCTTTTTCTGGGGCATCGACGGATGTCACGATACAGATCTGAAAGGCGGGTGGAGGGGGGGAACTTGTCCAATGTCCACAATGGTAGGAAGAGAAAAAAAATCCAAAACAAAAACAAAGCAGCAAGTCAGAAGTCCGGCAAGGCCCGAAAATCTGGAACCGAGGCTGCCCGTCACGCAGAGAAGCGGAAACGAATCCATGGGTGGCACTCACCGGCTCCACCCTGGCAGAGTGCATTGTTTTTTCTCTCCTGTCAGCTCGGTCTGGAAGCTGACCTGGGTTCAGCTTCCGGGTGGTTTAAACGAGTGTACGTGATCTTTTTGGCACGTATGTTTTTTCCTACAGTTTTTTCTGAAGCCAGGTAGAGCGTATGCTTGGAGGCTACTGGTGAAATGGTGCAGACCCGACGGGGGGTCCGAGCAGAGCTAGAAGGGAGGAAGGAAGGAAGGAAGGTCAAGTCGGAAGCCGAGCAACCGAAAGGATTGACAGAGTTCAGGTAGAGGATGATAGTTCGGTTCAGGAGGAAAAGTTCTATGCAGGTTAAGCTTTGTCACGGCTTGCAGGAACAAGGGACAATGGCCTCTCTCCCCTGAAGGAACTCATGGACTCGAGGAGATGCCTGATTGAGTGCTGACATGCAATCTAAATCTAATAAGGTCGGCTAATAGATTGGAACTACCGTGGTTGTCGAGAATAATACGAAGGATGGGCTGACCCTGGCCCGTGGATGATCCAAGGAGCTGGAACAGGGTGGAAATTGCACCGGCTGCCTTTGATGCCTTTGAGGGAGGGCCTGATGACGCAAGTTGTGGTTGTGCTTGGGTTGTCGTGGTCAATTGAGGAAAAAAATCGGCAGGACTAAGAAGACCAAGAAGAGTAGCGAAGCCGCTAACGACCCACTCAACTTAGGGGTAGTCTCGGTTCTGGCCCTAACTTGCCCACACCAGCACCGCAACAGCCAAGAAACAGCAGAAAATCAACCCGTCGTGCCATGTGGTGAGAGGATCCAGCACGATTATTCAACTAATGATAGACAGGATCCATGCAGCTTGCAATCCATCAGTTGATGGACAGCCTCACCAGATAACTTGCACATATGTACTCAGTAGGTAGGTGAATGTCGACACTAAGTTCTGTTACCTTCAGAGCATCAAATAATATACGTAAGCAACCACACCGACCCAAGGTTCATTCTGCGTCCGGAAACCTTATCCCTCGCCGGAGCTCCATTGTGTCAATCCACAAATACGATGTCCGACTCACCAGGGAAAACCCCCGCCACCCCGAGATTCACCCATGGACGAGATTCTGTCATGCTCACGTCGGCCAGCTCTCCATCGCTGCCCTTTCCCATGCGAGTCTGGTACCTGCCCCTCCGCTCGGACCTCTCCGAGGACCCAGTGGACATAAAAACGGAGATTGCAGGCGAGAGAGAAAAAAGGCCCAGTTGGGAGCGCAGCCTCGGAAATCCGACCCGGAAAACTCTCTTAGCGAGCTGAACCGCCAACTACCCTGGGAGTGTGAGACAGGAATGGATTGGCAATTATTGGTCAAAGTCGATTCCTACTGGTTCGCAATGCGCAGCGGGATTCAGAAGGAATTAAAACAGCAACTGGACAGAGGTCAAGTAAACTCCTGACCAGATTCTACCGCTCAGGTACGTACTACAGTGCTAAGGGCATAGATGCCAGACAAGAACAGCACCACCACCACCACCAACTGTAGAAATCCATCAAAACACCACACCACAACCACAACCATATATGCACCCCTCCCGACCAAATCCGAAAACTCGTAAACCCACCGACCAACGCCTTAACTTCAACCCCCCCGATTGGGTCCATACCGCCCCGTCCACGCGCGCAACCGCGCTCCCCCGAAGAACAAGGGCACCGCCAAGAGCAAACTAGCGGCCTGGATCGCCGTCATCTCGCCGAACACGACCGCCACACCCTGGCGCGCGATCCAGTCGCTCGCGTACAGCGACAGCAGCATGCCGATCGTGTTGCGGATGACGAAGATGATCACCAAAGCTTCGCCGGCGATCTGCATTCCACCCCTCGTATTAGTTCTAGTTTTGATTGAAATCGACGAGGGAATACGAGGGAAATAGATTAAGGGGCTTGATTGAAGGGGAGACTTTTTACCCGAATGGCAGGGGGAGAGAGGAGGGGATTGTGGGCGACAGGGGAATCGGAGGATCGGGGAGGGGTTTATATCCTGGATGGTCCCTCGGCATCCTACCAAGGATCATATTGCGACTGATTGCGGATTTTCGACGGCCGGAGGAGGAGGAGGAAGGAGAAGAAAAAGAAGACGAAGCAACTCACCCGCTGATAACAATCCAACGCATATGTCACCGCGACATTCGAGATGGCCGCCACCCCGAACGCCTGCATCGCGTATCCCACCGCCACGCCCATCCAGTGCGTCTGGTGCGCGATGCACAGGCCGAATATCAGAATGCCCCCCGGTCCGATCACCCCGGGCACCACCAAGGCCGGAAGACGGTACTCCGGTTGTCGGTCGCCGCCGCGGCGTTGGGTGTATCGCGTCGAGATCTGGTCGATGAGACGGCCGCCGACGTAGAAGGCGAGGTGGGACCCGATGAACCCGGCCAGCGAGAGGAGGCCGATGTCGCCGGCGGGCCAGTTGTAGGGGGCGGAGGTGAAGGTGCGAGAGGCGGTGAGTTGCACGACGATGTTCCTGTTTGACGCATGACCAGTTAGTCAGCTTGGGGATGTGTTGTGGGAGAAGGGACGAGGGTTCGGGGGACTCACCATCCGACTGAGACACCAATGGTAAAGGCACACCAGAGGAGCTGGGGATAAGCTGCGGCGGATAAGATGGCTTTGACCGTGCGCAGGAACGAGGCATCGGGGTTGTAGCCCTGCTTCAACGAGAGCATGCTCCAGACCGAGGGGGTCTTGTCTTGGGAAGCCTCATGTCGAGCAGGCAGATATGTGGTCTCGCGGATGGTGAAGATACCCACCGCCCAAACCACACCGGAAGCAATGGCCAGGAACCAACACATCCAGCGCCAGCCCGCGTCCTGCACGATGTAGGCGTTGATCAGCGGCCCCACGAACAACCCCGACGTCAGCGCCAGATGGAAGATCATCAACCAGTGACCCCGACCCTCCGGACGAACCATATCGCCCACCACCGCGGGGACAGTCGCGTCGGCGGCGGCGGCGGCGAGCCCGGACATGATCCGAGCGCCCAGCAACTCCGAGTATCCCGTGGCTTTGGCGGACCAGACGTTCATCATCGAGAGGCCGAGCAGGGCGGCCAGGTAGATGGGCCGTTTGCCAAAGACCCGCATGAGAGGGACCCATGCGAGGTTGCCCAGGCCGAAGAAGAAGACATTCAGCGAGACGAGGTGGCCTGCGTCCGTGGAGGAGACGTGGAATTCGGCGATGATGGCTTTGGTGGCGACGGTGAAGTTGCTGCTGTTGACGTTGGCCAGGAAGGTGAAGCAGCAGATGGTCATGTATGTCGTGATTTTCGTCAGCAGAGGCCAGTTCTGTGGAGTGAGGGTGAGTCTGATAGGCTGTGTTGTTTAGATGTAGAGTTGCCTACCTTGGGATCGTGCGGGTCCGAGGCCGGTTCGGCATTTTTGGCATCGTAGCCATCTTCCAGCCCCTGTTCATCGGCGTAGTCGATGTGGTTGGATGTGCCCTTGTCCTCGTCCATGGTGAGATGTAGCGGAGTAGAGTGGAGAAAGAGAGAGAAGCAAAGGGGGGGGGCAAGATATGGGCGGCTGCGGGTCATCCGCAGGATATAAGAGAGCTGTTAAGCAAAATGCCAAGACGTCGGATATTCCGAATGGCCACCAGGCCAACGAAGAAGGCCGATCGGCAGTTGACCCCGCACGATTAGGATGACTCTGGGGAAAAGCCGGGGAACCCAGAAGGCTTGTTGCACGCGGTCGCGTTTGTAATCCTTGCCTCGGACTCTCCGGGTGGCTGGTCGACTAAGAGGGTTGGGGATTGGTCCGTCAGTCTGCACTGTTGTACAATCATTAAATTGATGATACTGTACGCTAAAGAGGCTCATTCTGGCTTACCCGTCCACTGTTCAATATACACGATGCGCTGTCTTGGCACTAGTGGCATATGTTACCACAGAAATATGTTTAAGGCAGTTGGGAATTGTTTTTTGCTTGCAAAATAAAGAGACTACTCCACTCACTCAGCAAAGAGTAAGCACCCCGAAAAGTGTGTTCACATTCATGTATAAAAGGAGTGTGTGCAAGAAAGTATAACCCCAGCAGCAGCGACCATGAGACAGCACCAGGCTATCCCATCCCCACTACATCATAGAAACCCATATCCAAGCTCAAAGAATAACCATTTCCAGATCCATAAAACCAATCCATGACCATAACGCATCCTCATGCATCTACCTCAACTTCCACCCCAACCTAAGAAAGCCCGACGGCACTGACCAGGAACTGCGCGGCCGTCTGGGCATCGCTTCCATAAGACAAGTGAGCCATGACATTGACGCCGTTCTCACAGACGGGGTCGCCGACGGCGCAGAACTCCTTGACCTTGCTGGAGTCGAGCTTGCCGACCGAGGTCATCTTGAGCGGGTCACCGAACAGGACGGCGGCCTGGATCTGGCCCGCGCTCAACGAGCTGGCGGCGTTGTGCACCACCATTGAGCCCTGCGAGTAGCCGCCCAGCACGACCTTGGTGTTGGGGCACTGGCTCAGCGCCTGCTTGACCAGGCTGGCCATCTTGGGGCCGCCAGAGGCACCCATGTTCATGTTGCCCTGTTTGGGACACGATTAGCTTGACGTGATCGGAGAGAATTGAAGAGACAGAGGACGACTTACGGCCCAGTCGGCGGGGTAGTCCACACCCTGCACCGTCACCTTGTTGCCAGTCAGCGACTGCAGGGCCGAGGCGACCTCGGGGCCGACCACGCTGCCCATGTTGCCCATCTCCGTGGTTCCACGCGCGAAAATGAAGGTCAGCTCCTTGCAGCCGGTGTTGGAGGTGACTCCGTTCTGAGTGCTAGAGCCTAAAGGAAATGAGTATTGTGTATGATGAGGGGGGCACAAAAGAGGGACAGAAGCTTACCACCCATGACGCTGCTGATCATACCGCTGAGTCCATCGCTGCTGCCGGAGGAGCTGGTGGTCGCGCTGCTACTGGGGAACAGAGAGCTCAGCGCACTCAGGCCACTGCTGCTGTCGGTGCTGGTAGTGGTGGTGCCAGTGGTGCTCCCACTAGCGCTGCCACTGGTGTCGGAAGAGCCGGTGGTGCTGCCGGTCGCCGAGCCACTGGTTGGGAACAGCGAGGCCAGGGCACTCAGACCACTAGATCCAGAGGAAGTGCTGGAGCCAGAGCTGGACCCGGACAGCAAAGAAGAGAGGTCGAATTGACGCCCGTGCAGAGTCGGGGTGGGCGCAGCCAGCGCAGTGGCAAGGAGAGAAAGAGTAACGAAGGACTTCATGATGAAAAGATCGACGGCAACAAATGTGCGATTGGAACGAGAGAGATAGAGCGCAGCTCTGTAAACGAAGGAACAACCTGAGTGAGGAAAGAGAGAGGAAGTGCACTGCACTGGTCGGAGTCAATGGATGGACGAGCTGGATTGGACTGGACCGACCAACCTTTCGTGAAAACCTCCCAACCTTATATCTGGTCCAAGTCCTCAAAATTGAGACCCATCACAAGTCAGTTGAGCTGAACAGCCCGCGATCGGATCGGGCGTGTTTCAGCTTGCACCGAGGCTGTCCGAGAAGCTCGGTTCACATCCCTTGGAGGTGGCTCAACCCCGGGCTGAGAGGCCTGAAACCGTGCGGTTGATACATCAAGATCCATGGTTAGCCGCAAATGTCTCACCCTGCGACGTCGCGGGCGAACCGTTATGTGTCGGTGTAGCAGCCAGACCGGTAGAATGACTGCTGCCAGTCGGGGCGCTCGGATCTCAAGGGCAGACCCTGTCCGTAACCAGGGTCCGTCGCCGATAAATGAACGATCGTCCCCCTCTTTCCCCCTGGGGCGGTGATCGTGTTCCTGGACGAGTCTTCTCGCCGGCTGTTTAAGGGCCTCGTTAGGGCTACTCGGCTACTCTACTAATGATTCCTAGTGATTCCTGCGTCCCCGCAATCGCCCAATTTTTGAGGCCTCTTTCCCCGATCGGGCAATCGGCCCGCTCCGGCAAAACCTTCAACCTGCACCAAATTTCTTGGTGAATGAGAGAGATCAGCTTCAAAGACTGAGCCTGTCCTCGCTGAAACTTCGGCCAGCCTGTCATGCGTGGATGATACGGCGGAATTGGAAAAGTCTGTCTGTTTCAGTTGGCCAGTCCTTCCATTTCTGATCCATGGATCACCCACGGCTGTGCCTGAAGCATTCAGGGCAAAATGATCTAGACCATGGTAGATACGTCACTCTCGAAGGATGAGGATCAACCCGAACGTGAGCAGCATGACCCGGTTGCGGAGCGCGAAAGGAGATCTGCCTCGGTACCGCTCGATATCACAGCCTTGGCGTATTCTCGACGGGGCTTAGGATCGACAATCGACGTCACTAACAGACTTATCAATCCAGTGGTACTCACCTTTACTTGCATTGATGATGATGCTTTAGACAATTAATAGATCTAGCGAGAATTTTCACGCTGCGAATGAAGAGTTCTTCGAGGCCGGTGGTTCAGCATGGAACGCCAAATCCTTCTCATTCTTTCTTCCCTCAGGCGGAGTCAAATCGCTCACAAGATCACACTGCAATCTTGGATAGGCAACAGAGATACTTACCCAGGGCTATTGTGAGTTTCAGCATCAGGGCCCACAAGGCGGGTGACAAGCCGACTGCTGTCAGGTTGTGCCGTAACTGAGAGTCCAGACTTTCCCGGCTCGAGAAAACTGCCTTTCTGGTGGTTCAGCAGTGAAAGAAAATTGTGCACATCCGTATTGAAACGCCATTCATCCAGAATATTTGTCATAAATGCAGGGCATGAGCTCACCTTTCAAGATTGCGGAGTCAGTGATTGAAAAAGATATCGGTGCGGGAGATATATGTCTCATGCAACACGGCCACTCAGTTCTAAACGTCGCTAATTGCATGCCTCACACTCCATCTCTGATAGTCAAATATCGGATAAATAGTCATTAGGGGCCTCTTGGTTCTATCTTCATACCAGAGGTTGAGCGCAATTCCCAGAAGAAAGCTCGACCATGAAAGGTGTAGAGATACCAGTAATGGGCCGTAGATGCGCCGTGACAGAAAAACAATGGATATAGTAATGTGTGCTTTGGCCGGAGGTAGAAAGACTCTGTCGAAGAACTTTCCATTCGTCTCAATAAGCCGAGTAACATTGATAGTGTTGACAACTGTTATCTGAATGAGTGAATAGTTGATCAAGTATGTTAAGCTAAGCTCTCGCGTGTCATAATGAAAGGAAAGCTGTAGCCATGCTTGCCAAGACAGGCAGCTCCCTGCAAATTTGAATGATTGCAAAATTGCCATGGCGAGCATCAGAAAAGTCCGACGCTGATAGCAGCTCTATACGATAAAGTGATGTTGTTAAAGAAGTGCTAAGCATATAATATGCAAATTATGGCATTCGCATGAGTTATTCAATAATTTGATCTGAGTAACAAGCCGCCTATTTGACTAGATCGGCTATTCTAGAACACGGTCGCATGTGCCAACATCTGCGCGTATGTTAATAAATCCTTGATCACGTAGCTCAGATGCTTCGAAACATATCAAGAAGCTAGTGAGCATTATAATAAATTGCTTTCATGAGCATGGTCTGGTCGCCATTGAAAAAAATTTACTGTACTAATAGAACGGCTCCGATCGACGTAATGAACCAAGAACACCGACAGGAAGATCGAAATAGTGAAGCATCAACAAAGATAAACGCCGAAAGCACTGGAAAGCAAATACTGAACTATAGAAGATCATCGAGTATAATTCGCGTAGAATGTGATAACAATACTGCATTAGACAGGGCGGTCACGTTTTCCATGCGAGTTCCAAGTAGTCGCTAGTCCACAGTCTTATTTGTACCATGCTCGTAGTATGTAATCCTCAAAGAGGGATGTGCTGCATAGGCAAGCTCCAATCTCACATTCACAGGATGTTGTTTAGCACCAGCGATGAAAGTTCTTTGCAAACCGCCCGCATCGATGCGGGAACGCATCCAGGCTGATGAGATAATTAGGCCTCCCACCCTGAAGGTCTAGTTGTATATTTAACTTGCTATGCTGAATCTTTCTGAGAGGTTATCTACATGCGACACACAACGCTCAATCTGCCTTGTGTCACTAAGCATTGACCGTAGAAATTGTACGCGGGGATCGTTCGAGAGAATCAGAATGGTTGCTGGTGGTTTGCTTTCGATGGAGCGGGCGTCTAGACCACCTCTTCCTAGATTGTTTGTCTTACTTTGTGTCGTCGACATGCAGTTAATCCAAGCCTGCATGCTGCAAGGCGCTCAGCTTCCTAATTCGGAAATTGGAATCACAAAAATATCGGGATTCTCTCTCGTGTGACTGAGGGTTGTCGACGATGATTTCCATGTAAGAGAAAGTGCGACAACGCGATTAGTGATTGCATGAGAAGATGACTACAAAGATTGAAGAGCTGATGATGCTTTAGGTTGGGTGGCTGTTTGTTTGCAGAATGAAAGCCAGACCCGAGCCCTAGCTGCAGCATGTGAATAGTCGCTCCGCGGGGTAAGAGACAGTCTGAGACTAACACGAAGTCAGCAGCCACCACGTGCTAGGTGGTCAGTATACACAGGGCTCCAGGCTGGTTTGTTTGATCGCCTACTGCGGTTCCGGTGTCTCTTTTATTTTACTTGTCGGATGATGAGACGATATTTCTGTCAATCTCACATTACTACTGCCTTTAATTCTTGCGCACCATCGGCCTGCGAATCCCTAAACAATCACCCTCGACATCGGTCATCGTCGAGGGAACTCTTCTACCCCAGGCCTGAGGTAAACTCGAAACAAGGTTACATCGTCCCCATCTAGATCGCCTCTTCTCTCGATGAATGTCTCACTCTCCAAATTAGCCAATTGGATGATCCGGGACTAGAAGGCTTGTCTAGTCTTGATTGGGCTAAGCAACCCCCACACACTGAAATAAGGTGCATCTCGACTCCGTTCCCCGGATATTACAGCCATTCGCTTCAAACAGGCAAGTCTCACCTACCGATACGAGTTCCCTTTGGACGCCTTGCAGCAGTTCTCGAACAGATAATACGAGCGCACTCTTCCACAAGATGAGAGCAAAACCACGACCCCTGCCTTACGCGTGCGCTGACGATTCGATTTGGGGAATTGTGGCGGCGGCTATAGACGCATGTCAGCATAGTCCAGCCCAATTCAGGCAGTCTGGGGAAACCCCTTCAAGACGGGCGCGTCTCGTGACGACCTGGATCTAGCAGTAGGGAAGGGTGGATTTTCCAGAAAGGGTTAGCACGATCGATTAGTAGTTTGCTAGCCCACAAGATACTTAATGAGTCCAAGGCTGACCCTGCATGATTAGCGTTGGTCTAGCCTCGTCCAGCTGAACCCTGCATCCTTTCCCGGTGCGGCTCGACCCCGACGATCCTCGTGTTTGGTCACTTAGGAGTCATGTCTACCTCACCTTTGCGGGAATTTCCGCAGTCTGCAGTATACACTTGGACTGTTCTGCGGGCAAGCGAGCGAAGCGGGAGTCAGACGGGCGCCTCTCACTGGGAAGAATGTCGGGGCCGCCACGGACAGCTGCAATGATTCAGGGCCCTCAATCTGGCGGGAAAATTATATAAACCTCTGGACGACCCATCGAGAACATCCTCTCATCACGACCATTATCAACATCCTCTACAAGTCTCTACACAGAATCATTCTGATCATCATGCACTTCTTCAAGTCCACCACTGTCCTCCTCGTCTCCGCCCTGGGCGTGTCCGCCACCCATTTCCACAACAACTACGGCAAGAACGGCTGGATCCAGGACAACCAGGGCTCCGACATCCAGCTCAAGAACGGTGGCTCTGTCACCATCGGCGGCGGCTGGGGCTTCTTCTGGGTCGACAGCAGCGTCTGCTCCAAGAACTCGGTCACCTACACCTGGCCCTCAAGCTACGGCGGTATGTTCTTTGCTTCGTACGATGCATCTCGTTGAATAGACAACTGATGATGTGATATAGATGTCTATATCCACAGCGATGGTTTCTTGTATGATGCTAGTGGTGAGTACTGTGGTGTACTTGGGGGGCAAGGGTAAGAGGTACTGACCGTGGTCTCTAGGCTACCAAATCTCCGGCGGTGCTCACATTTGCGGTTAAATGCTGGATGTGATGAGTGGAGTCTGGGGTAAAAAGGGGGTGCTAGGTGGAAAGAAAAATGTACATGTTGATTTGTGGGTTGCAGAGTCCCCCTTGCAGATAGGTGCTGTTCTTGTTGAATCACTGTTGTGAGTCTGCAAGTCATGATTTGTGTCGATCTGAAATGAAGATCCGTGCGCATTGATCCCGGCATGTCTTGCAAGTGAAATTAAGTCTAGAGAGATGGATCTTACAATCCTACCAGCGTTCAGTACTGTAGAGAGTCAGCAATCCGAGGTCTTGCCAATTCGTGATGCACTTGATCGTACATTTGGTCCGAAGTCCGGTTCTAGGCGAATTCCACTCCAAAGTCCATCTAATGTCTAAATTGTCATTTGTACCCTCTTGTCTACTTACCAAGATCCACCATCCCAACCAAATTTCCATACTTCAACGTATTGACTGTGGCCGCCGCCTGACCCAAAGCCGGCGAAGCTGTCAAAATCATCCTTGAACAAGAACCGCCCTTCTCATCCCCACCCGTCGTCCCCTGAAAATGCTCCCTCAGCACCATCGTAAGCGGCGAAGACCGATACGGTATCCTGGCCGCCCTCGCAGCCCTGGCACGAATCACCTCCTTCAGCGCGAGCAGATCCGTGTTAATCTGCCTGCCCGTGCGCTGCTCCTGGGGAGACGGTTTCAACCGCGGCACCGCCGCAATACTCTTATCATGATAGAACTCCGACCCCGCCAGATCCACCAACACCAACTTGCCCCCAAGGCAGGCATGTCCCGCCATCCTCATCACCTCCTCCACCGTCCTCACTGCATCCTCCACATACCCCAAGAATTCCGCCTTTCTAGCCTCTGCCTCGTCAATCCTCGCCTGATCCACCCGATAACCAGGATTAGGGACGTACTTCCCCGCCTCATTCTTCACCAACCCCTTCAAACTTTCCTCCAGATAAACATCCGTCGCCCGCTTCGCAACAGGGACGAACTCCGACTCGCGCTCCACGACCGTCTCCCTGGCCGCCAGCAGCGCGCGGGACACCACCTCCACCTCCAGCACGGCATGCGTCCGCGAACTCAGCTCATGCACCGTCGAAGTCCCCGTGGCGCGCAACGCCAACCCCCCACGGAGATGCGCGAGGAACTCATCCAAGCTCCAGCACGCTTTCGTGGTAATGGGCCGCACCCGCACGCGGCCGTGCGCCAGCACCTCCGTCTCGCCGCGGAGGTGCGTCTTCCCGTCGCCGCCCTCGCGGATGTGGCACTTGCTGTGGCCGTTGAGGAGGTCGAAGGCCTCGTTGCCGCGGAGCTCGTACATGCGGAGCCCGAGCCCGAGGTCGAGGTGGGATGTCTCGTCTGTGGTGTTGGTATTGGTGTTGAGATTGATGGCGTGCAGGGCGTCGAGTAGGTGCTGCGCTGCTGCGAGACACAGTCCGTAGTGCTCGGTGTGCTCGTAGTCGTAGCCGATGATGGTGTGGGATTTGCCGCTGCCGGAGTGGCCGTAGGCGAAGACGTTGCTGGTTCCGCCGGTGAGGACTAGGGGCAAGGTGGGCGCGACTACGGAGTCGAAGACGGTGCGGTTGGTGTCGCTTGCTTCGAAGATCTGCGTGAATGCGTGGCTGCTTTTCCAGGGACGGTGTTGTCGACTCTGCGAGGGAAGGGATATTGATATGCGGTTGTTGGCGGGGTGGGGCTCATAGTCGCGGGTGAGTTCCGTGGGGTCGGACGCGTCGGGTGGGAGCGGGCGCCATCGCACGAAGACGGAGAAGGGTTGCATTTTGGGTCGAGAGAATGAGATTGGGAGTGGATGGTTGTGGTGATGGGAGAAGAGATTTCAGGTTGGGAAGTGGGAGTTCTTAAATGTTGAGTCTTCAGAGACGCCGGACATTCGGGGATTTCTCCACCCCAGCGGGTGGAGATGGGGCGGAGAACAATACCGCAAGGTATTGCTCGATGGAATTCCACACAGCAATAGCCTTTCTATGTGTGTGTGCTCTGTACTGCTGTACAGTACTGTATTGGTCTCGCGGTTCTTTTATCTTATCTGATCAGATGAGTTCCTTATCATATGTACTGTAAGTTATGTGGTACTGTGCTGTACTACCAACATCGAATGTTTACAAGACTGTCATGATGGATAGACCTACAAGAATAAGCCGGGGGGCCCTTTGGCCCCCTACGCGATCTGTAGTGCTGGGTTCAAGGTGAGTCGCCGGATCAAAATCAAAGGAAAAGATAGATCTAACAAAATATGGAACTTTAACAATTTCGAGCATCCAGCTATATCTGATGTATATATATGCATAATTTCCCCCCAACACGGAAACTGAGTGGTCTGCCTAACGATAGGAACCTCAAGAGGGAGCAGCAATTTCGGAGCAATCACTGAAAATCCCATCTGACTCCGACTCTGCATCCGCAGAAGCGGCAGACTGCTCCGTGCACTTGGCGGCCGCTGCGTCAGCCTCCTACGCATCCTTCTTCCCCGTCGTCGTCTCATCCTTCACTGGCCTGCGTCCCTTGCGCATCTCCTCTGTTTTCTCCAGCCACTCTGGGACCCCCTGGATGGCGAACTGCGGGCTCTTCTTGTGGTCCAGCAGATACCCCTGAATTTCGGCCCCACTGAACTCGCCGGAGGGCACGAGCGTCGCGAACTCGCTCGCCAGGGCGTCAAGCGACGGCGAATCTGGCGTGACTGGCGGCGCGAAGCTCAGGGTGTCCGTGTCCGTGGAGGCGTAAGTCGACTTGAAGAGGCTCGCGACCTCGGGGGTCTGGGCATACCCGTAGGCGATGGTCATGTCCACGCGGCCGTGGCGGCGGAGCGCGGCATCCAGCTTCTCGACATGGTTGGTGGTCACGATCAGGATGCGGCCCTCGCCGGCACTGACGCCGTCGATGGCGTTGAGCAGGCCCGAGAGAGTGACCCCGTTCGTCGTCGATGCGTCCCTGCCACCGGCACCGCCGCTGCCGTCGTCTGCCCGTTCCTGCGCGACCGCCACGCAGTCCACGTCCTCGACGAGGACTATGCACCGGAACGGCAGGCTGCGGAAGAGCCGGGCCAGCTGGTTGTCCGTGAGCTCCTTCTGCGACAGGTGCAGCAGATACAGGTCCAGGCCCAGGTGGCCGGCGATGGCGAAGCATAGACTCGACTTGCCCGTGCCGGGGGGCCCATGCAGCAGATAGCCCCAGCGGTAGGGGATGGCCCGATACGACCCGGCGCACGGGTTGTAGCGCATGCGGCGCGTGCGGATCAGGGCGATCGTCTTGCGCCAGTCGTCGTGCTCGCAGATATCCTGGTCTTCCGAGTCCTCGTCGGGGATGCAGGTGATGTCGTCGTAGCGCCCGGCGGTCTGGATGACGAATGCGCTGGCCTTGTTGAGCGACTTGTGGCGTGCCATCCAGAACAGGTAGTAGTTGTACCCCCAGTCGGAGGGCCTGATTTCCACCGTGGTGGTGAAGAGGTGGAGGAGCGCTTTACAGATATATCGGGAAATGCGCTGGGCAACGCAGGAGAGAATCACGGCGAAAGTGACATAGGGGAGATAAGTGAGGGGATTCAGTCCAAAGCGCTTGGTCACAATAGACAAAAGCGATCCGTAGTTCGGGAGAAGCGCCTGAAGAACCTTCTCATACCCTTCCGGATTTGACTTCACCAGGTGGGTCTGAATCTTCTTCAAGAGGCCAGACATGTTGACAGTGTTTATGGTGATGGTAACAGTTGTTCGATGGTGATAACGAAGGACTGCTGGGTTGGGTATATGAGAAGGTGCTTGAGAGGAAAGGATTGAGAGGGGTGATGGAGGAGTAGGGAGCTGAGGAAGGTAGGAGGAAGCAGGTCTTTTTATCCCTTGAGATCGTGGGCATACAAGTGAGCTTTCGTCGTTCGGTCCTTTACAGCCGATCTATGTGCGCAATGCAACAAAGAAATTCCCCGGAGATACTGCTATTGTGGGTAACAATGCTATTGTGTAAACAAAGACATCGGATGTCCTGATCCTACGATAGCTGTCTGGTGCATGCCACAAAGCTACATTTGAAGTCAAGCATCTTGTTCAGAGTTCAATAACGATCAATTTTGAATAAATTACCGCTGCTCGCTCACTGCTCAAAGAATATGTTCTATGGAAGGTTATTGTCGAAGCTGAAACTTCAATGCTGAGCTCAAGCAATAACACTAGGTCGTTCAACAGTAAGCTCATTGATCCTTAAATATCGAGGTCAAATGATGTCTTTTCTTTGCTCTCTGAAGCCATGTCAACTACCTCTAGTCCCCAGTCTTCAACAAAGTGCAAGAATCGATCAAGGAAAAGAACGGATCAGATAGCAGAAAGAGCCTTCACAACGGTGACAAAAGTTATACCTTCAAAGACGAATAACTGGAATGAATCTCGTGGTAGCTTTGTTTGTCAATGGGAGCATCACGAGCACACTTGACATGTTATTACAGATCGACAGTGTTGCCGTTGAACTCTTTTGGTGCTCGCAGTTGGGCCGGATCGAGAGAAGAGCAGCAGAACCACCTACACTCTTTTGCCGGGTTTTTCACTCGTTGGCGCCAAATATGCGTCTGAGGGAGAACGATGAGTAGAAGAAGGCCAAGCGTGGCTACGCTGCACAATGCCGAATACCATCTATACGCCCTCTAGGATAAAACTACACAGGACAAAGCGTTTTGCCAGGTAACAGCTTACTTGTCGCTGACTCTTGTACCATCATATCATAACTGCTGTTCATGACTTTTATCACCTTCTTCTGTTGTTGATCTTTATGCGCATGATGTGCATCTCTGCTTTATCAGTCACAGCCTATTTGGAGAATCCCCTGGCACAAGAAGATGGAACGTGAAACAAGAAAAGAATGCGGCACACACATCCTGCCACCCCGACCTGCGAACTTCACCATTCGCCTTCCTCTTGAGAACTTTTCCCTCCCTGCCATCGCCAGCAAAGCCCCAAGGATTATCGTACCTTTGAATGGCCTCTTAGCCATCATCCGCCCAATTGTGCCAGTATGTGATGTACACGTGATCCTGCCGTGAGAATGCGGCATCGTAGTCGAGATGGGGGATGCCCTCCCTGCCGTGATTCCAGAATCGATTTCAGATCGTTGCGGTGAGATACGCTGCTCGTCTACAGGGGCATCTCCATGGAACTCTGCGGCAAGCATCCGGGATTCTTGATTGTCGTTGGCATTGAGTGGGTGTTCGGAGTCGTTCCAGCGCATGTAGAAAAAGGCTTGGTCGTTTGGGTCTGGCATTTTGGGCGCAGACCTTTGACGAGATTTTGGAGGATTTCGTGGGATGGAAAGCAGGAAGATGAGGGTTGTGTTGCAGCAATGAGAAGGAGAGTCGGTTCGGGTTCCTCGATATCGCTGTGGTGAGCATGTAATATAGCTGGATGGCAAGGGTTGCGTCATGACAGGATCATTGCATTGTGGCCTGTCAGTATAGTAGGGGAGGCGCAGGGTGGCAAGTTTGACTTCGTTGCTGGAGTTTGTAGAAACTCTGTCTGAGTGTGTCAGTTTCAGGGTTGTCGTTTGGCAAAGCTTGCTGCTGACGGGGCTGTCAAGCTGGATCACGAATCAAGCCGCAGACCCTTAAACCGCGGAAAGCCTCCTTCGAACTCAAGTCCAGCGACCAGGAGATTTAAAATATCACAAAACCGCAAGTGGATCAAATATTACAGTAGCAGGTTTTGAGGCACAGAAAACTCTCAGAGACTGGTCGTCTAAACCAAGCAGTCGTTACCACCTGAAGACTTCTTTTCGTACACCCCCAGCATCGAACGCAGCTGAGTGCCTATAATAGACCAACGCGGTGGGTTCCTCGCCATCAAACACGGGTAGGAAGTCCGACACTCGCACGACAGCAGGCACATCGGCACAACTCGCAACAATATCTAAACCCTCCTCTTCAATCTCAATCCATTTATCCGCGATCGCGGCCACGACGGCACTGTTCCACACTCCTTCCTGAACTGCAGAGGTACGAAGCACCCGTACAGCTCGCCGGCGGATGTGAGGGTCACGGCACCGCACGGCGACGTTGAACATGGCTGCGATAATGCCGAGATCGAGCGAGAAAGTTTTAGGAGTTGGTGAAGGAGGAAAGGAAGCCGCGTCTGAGGGATGAAATGGAGAAAGAATTGGGGAGAACCCCACAATGGACTCGCCTAGGGTAACCATCTCTGCGAAAAGGCCACAATACTTGTCCCAGTCGACATTGTCGCCTGCCTCGGCCTGACCCGCAGGCTCGAAGATATCTAGCGAAATCAAGCAGTCGATCTTACGTAGCTGGAGCACTGCGAGACCGCGCCGCTCGCGGTCCGTCAAGGGAGCACTGCGCTCACGCAGAAAGTCGTCTAGTGCGGTAGACCAGCGATCCAGCAGGGAAATCGAGACGTCACGCAGAGCAACAGCCGCGTGATTTAACCCATTCACTAGCTCTATGGACTCTGAGAAAGGGGAATGCTGCTCCGCCTTCGTACGTTCGTGTTGCAGCCCCATATTGCGCTGCCGGTAGTAGTACGTGTAAATTTCGAGGGTCTCGCGCGCGTCTGCTAAAGAGTGGAACACGATGGGTCTGTCCAGCTCAATGACCAGCTCAGGCCAGATGTTAGCACGCGCTGCACTCATACGGTGGACGGTCTGTAGCGCTCTAAGATTAGCAACCGCATTCCTCTACTCATGCCGGGAATGAGCACCATACCACAATAATTTGCGCTTGCAGGCGAGTAAAGAGGCCACACACCACGTCGATGGGAACATACGGCATGCGACCTTTGCTCAGAGCTGTGGATTTGTCGAATGGATTGGCTCGAAGTTCATCAAGGATTTTTAGTCCGCTGGTGATGTGAGTGATAGCCGAACCGTATTGGCCGCGCATTGCCTTTAGCTTAGCTAGTACGCACATCTTATTACACGAGATATCTAGACACGCGTACCTCGAAGCAAGCGAATAGAATACAAGACATTAAGCAGACGTCAAGGGGCTGTGAGCCGCCCGGCGCCGGCATCAGACAACGCATGGCGCATAGGTACTGTCGCAAAGCAAAGGAGTCGTGCATGATCTGAGTGCCGGTTTGGTAGACAGTGCCCGCATCACGCTCCAGGCGCTCATGCAGCGAGCCCAATGCAACAGTGACATGGCGGATGGCCGGCTCGTGGTGCGCAGACTGCAGTAGCAGGCGTTCCCAGAAGACACATTCGAAGTCGCCGGCCAGCTGTGGGGCAGTCTTGGCTATAAAAAACTGGAACGAGCGACGCTCTCGGTCGGAGATGAGTAGATCATCACCGAGCGACCGGGGAATGAGAGGCCTTGTGAATGCGTTTGATCGTAATGTCGTGAGGCTAGACGAGGGCGATGGGGGCGGAGCCTCGTAGCCGTCGCACACTCGGCCGGTTGAGGTACAGCGCAGACAGGCCGGGCGCTCTTCGGTGCACTTGACGCGGCGCTCTGCTTTCTTCAGTCAATCATTGCTAGACAATGGTATGATCTAAAATTACCAATCTCACTCACTCCTAAGTTCGGTCAGCAGGGATCTTATTGACTTGTGGGGTGCACTTACTTGCAGGTCAAGCAGCCGGTGCGCGTCTTGGGACGATACGACCGCTTCCGTTGTCCCGGGGCAACTCGGGGCATCGATCTAGTAGGTGTAGGTGCGTTGGGTTCTAAAGCGGTTCATTGGTATCGAGCCGGGCTGACGAGTGAGATGGTGAAAGTGTGGACCGATGCTGGCGATCTTATCGACAATCACCTGGGTCACATGTCGCAACTTGACCGCTTTAGGTTAGTCGATCGGAGAAGCCGGTTGGGTTATTTATAGCAAGCTTACAGTAAATGAATCTATTCCAAGTCGAACTATACCCAACTCACCAACATACATAGTCTCCAATATCTTGAAAGATAAGGAGCGTGAGAAGATACCAAGGCTGAATCTCCGCATCCATCTATTATACACGCCGTCTAATCAACAAAAGCGACACGCCTCAGCACTCTCCCAAGCGAACCATATCATCACTCGGCATCTCCTTCTTACTGGTCACACCCATCTTCTTACGCTGCTTCCGACTCGGCATATTACTCTCCTTGCCCGGCATAATCCGACCGGGGTGCACCACATTGAGCAGTACAAGTGCCAACAGCATCGGCAAAGAGTCAAGGCAGTACTGGTACGCCTCGTGGGCGGGAATCTCGCTGTCGAGGCCCTGCGCATACTCACACAGCCGGAAGATAATCCGCATCTACTGCTTATCAGTCGTCTTTCTTGGCACCATGAGAGAAAGAATGCTTACCGTAATCAGGGCAAGACATGTATAGAGCACATAGAGTAAGAGCAATGCCTTTTTCGCGTCCGAGCGCCGCTGCTGGAGCAACTTGCGGTGGAAGGCCACGCCACAGACCACGAACACGAGGACGAAGAGCTGCTGCACGCCGACTCCGGCCATGTATATGTGTAAGCCCATCATTTCCGTACTGTAGGAGACGTTGTTGCCGGCTGCTTGAGCGGCTCCGTAGACTTGGACGATGAATGCACTGTTGCATTGTCAGAGTCGGCTTCTAAAAACCCGATACAGAAAGCCATACATTATGTCTAAAGCCACGAAGAAAAGACCAAAATGCCAGGGCCGCACGCGTAGGACACGCGCGTCATCGGTGAAGTTCCACACCATACGGCCCATAACCATGTAGACGAAGGCGTTGGTCCAGAGGGGTGCGATAAGTATCAGCACAAACCACGCCGCGTAGTCGGTGTAGCTGGCTGGGTTGAGAATGCTGAGAATGCGAAAGATGTAGGTCACCGTCTGGATGAGACCGGACATGACGATCACCCAACTGTAGAATTTGCGATGCAGGATCGTCTGTGCGAGGTGGGCGAGGGTCGTCAGGGCGAAGAGCACGGTAAACAAGTAAGCTGCACCAATCGAGGGACAGAAGGTCCACATCGTGTCTGGTGTTGTTAAAGCTAATAAATTGTCAGGTACTGGATCCTTTACGGTTCATCGAGAGGAATACTGTACCTTTGCACTGCGTCATGGCGGCGGTGGTTATGAACAAGAATTAGCAAAGGAGAAATGTGGATAACCACCTCTGGTAGTGAGATACCTACTTTAAGTAGGATTTCTCCTTCATATTGCTGCCTGATGAACAAAAGCTGAGTTGTTGTCATCGTGAAGTTCACCTAGGGCTGGTATACGACATCTAGTCTGATTGGCCCGCTCGTATGGACGCGCCAATCAAAACGCCATGTGCTTGTCCGATATGTCCCCACTTCATGGCACTTGGCAGCCGAGTCTGGCCGCCGGCGACCAACGGGAACGACTAGGGGAAGGGTGTTCCTACAGACAAATGCTGAACTGTGGGAATGTAGACCGATTTATAAGATTTCTCCTATGATGGTCGGGACTTGGATTTAGTGCCGGGGTGCTGGAGCCCCACGTTACAACAATTTGGTTGGTGACGCTTTGTAAAATCGCTATAGGCAGATGGATATCGTTGTATTGTTACAGTAAGGTAGGCTACGCACGTAATGTTTCTTATATGATACACTCCCAGTCTTTAGGATCTTACTCTTTGAATTAATCCTTGGTATTGTTGGCACAATATCTATATAGGCTGACTTTATCCATATTTCGACAATTGTTATAAGGGGACAGAACGATTCTTTCTGGTAAAATCGATTTTCACTTCGGGGTGAAGTCGTTTTGGCGGGAAATTGTTATAGCGATGATGGTCATATCGGCGGTTTACAGTGCCCAGATGTTTCGAGTGAGGAAGATCCCGAAACGAGAAGCTCGTTCCTGACTTAAATGCTGGCTTGAGTGGTAGCCCAAGTGTGTTAGACGCTCAGTGTGGCTCAGCATTGCTTGGCGTCTGCGAGGATCTGGTCCGGTCAGGGCAAGAAATTTATCCCAATTTTCGAACCCTCATTACGGAGTACATAGCAAAGTTTTGCGCCGTCCTTACCCAGAACTGTCTCACGGAATGTTGAAGATTCTCGATGTCCTCCTATAAAGTTTGACCGGTGAGACATATCGGCGAGCAGCAGCACAACCTGCAAAAACCACGATGTTGGAAGCACTAGGCTCTGTGTTACGCCCGACTCAGAAAAGATTCACGCCAAAACTGATCAACAAAAATGAACAAGTACTCAACATACTGATCACCGCGAAATGCTCGTGACCATGGTAAACCCCACACGAAAAGAGGGAGCGATGACAGCGAGTAATGTAGCGATCACGACGACCAAAAAGAGCTACAATGGCCAAATCCACTACCATGAAATTGTACCCACCATCCCTCGAGGTGACTCTCTTTTCTTGAAGAACCAGATGCCAGGATAGGGTGCTGGTTTCAAGACAGAAAGAATATCTCTCGAGCACTCAGACTACGATTCCACGATGTGCGCTTTCGTCTTGCAGAGCTTTAATCAGAATCCGAAGACGCAACAAAAGAAGAACATGGATCTGTCACGGAAATAGTAGTTTATTCATACTGTAATCTGGATATGCGTAAAGCGGGTTGCGCTCTAACTACTGTACCTCAGAAAGGACCTTCCCATTACTGCAATATATTTGAACCACTTTGCGTCGAAGGTGACTATCGATTCTGAAGCTAGAGACATGATCAAAAGACAAATTGGACAAAGGGTACATGTCACATATCGCAAAGGCTGCGCCACCACAAATGAAGGAAAGCGTCTCTTACTGCCTCGACCACTATCGATCCTATCTCCTCACCTTCCCGTGCCAGCTTCAGATAAAGGCCTCGAAGCTCATGATCTCTGGGGGACGCCGATTGTATTCCTCCCACGTAAAGTGTTCCAACAAATAGAACCCTTGGAACTCCGCCTCGTCATAGAGCACATTGATCCAGCCAACGTCCTCGAGGGTGCACCCTTCCAGGGGCTCGGCTTCTGACTCCCCGTCTGAATCAGACTCTGGACACCACCGGCCATTCACCATCCGCACAAAGCCACTGAAGTTACCGATCGTCTCTGGATTTGTTGGGTCTGGCGCATTCAGGACGGATTCCAAGGCTTCCTGATCCACCTTGATAAAACACCGGTACCGGCACGTTAAACGCATAAGGGCCTGTTCGAGGGTCTTTCCATGCTCTTCTTGAACGGCCACCGCAGCCCACTTGTTGAAATGCTCCCGGAGGACTGCCGCGGTCGCGCCGTCAAAAGATGGGTCCTGGAAGACCGTCGGGCGGAAGGTGTCCATCAAGTCGAGGCCATTAAAAGGCTGCAGCTTTTTGGGAACGTGGTAGAGAAACCGACGCATGAACTCTTCCCAGTCGGACTCGCTTTGGTAGGTGCACCGGTACACCACAAACCCCCAGATCTTGAAACCGTCGAGTTGCAGCTTTCATTCCAGCCGGTCCGCATAGTTTTCACTGGTCTCCATGGTGTGAATTCGTTTTGATGGTTGTATGAGTATTTCATCACCGTCGCCTGAGGTGGGAGCACTCATTGTGCTCTCAAAGTGAATCGCGGTTCGGGAAGCAGGGAATGGCACGCGACCGGTGTAAAGGGGAAATCGGCCGGCGGTGCGGGACACAGTGGCCGTCCTGATCTGAGCGTAGAAACGGTTATGTGAAAGGCCTCTGCTGATACGCATTCTATGGTTGCAAGAGGTTCTCTTAGGTCATCGTTGATAAGGGGTGTGATGCAAGGATAGGAGGAAAGTTGAGTTTGAAACAGAAACGAGCGAAGGGGGAGGGGGGAGGTAACACTTTATAACTACGTCTACCCCGCAAGCCCTAAGACGGTCATGAGGTTGTAGAAACCCTAAGGCGCATTTCTGCTGTCATACCTCCCCATGTCAAACCGCGCCAATCATGCTCATTAACTAATGCTTTGTCTCCAGAACTCATTTGCAGGATTGACAATCGGCCGCCGAAGACGAAACGCCCACGCAAACGGCATACCCAATTTCCAAAGTTTGGCAATCAAACCAAGCGCGGGGTTCCACTCATACAGTTCGCAAAGATGATGCCATATATAGCCTCTAGCTGGGCGCACGAGTCCCCGCTACCCACAGTATGGAAATAGTTACAATTGTATGCGATTCCTGTCTGCGTCGTGGCGTCCGGGCTAGAGGTGGTAGCAGACGAGGCCGGCCCCTTCACACAATACGCGTATCCCAGCCATATATTGGCAGAAGCGGTGCCAGTGCTTGGGTTCCATTGATAGAACTGAGTTGCAGTGATGCCAAATGCACTCTCGCTCGAGGGACAAATATCACCGCTTGCTACGGTGTAGAATTGCTCGCATCCAACTACTACGCCCATTTGAGTCGGTCCGGTGACCTCAGTAGTTTGAGTTGTGGTTGCGGTCTAAGTGTACATTACTCAGGCTGTCGTCGTCGCACTTATTGAGCTAACGCCAATGCACACTGCGCGCTCGTCAAGGCCAGTGAAATTTGCGAACAAAGTGGTATCGCAGTCCCCAGTTAGCCAGCTGTTCCAAGCAACAAGCTGCGCCATTGTGATTTCATAGGCGTCAGCTAGCTCAGCACACGAATTTCCTAATTCCAAATTGTCAATAAAATTTAATTCTATGATTTAAGGCGCCATACTTCCGATGTCTTGAGTGTCAATGGTGGTAAATCGGTCGCAGTCTGAGGCAGTACCGGCCTCCGTAGTGCTCGCAGGAGCGCAATATGTGAAATCATCGTCCGGTTCTATTTGTGCGGTTAAATATCATAGTCGCATCATATGAAGCAATGCAGCTACCTACTAGTGCTGTTTTCATATCTCTGTACGCAGTAACTGTTGGTCGAAGTGGTGGTACAGTTGGTCGCGTTATGGTCGAGGCTGGGGTTCCACATCAACAAGTCGTCAAAGGAGACGTCGTATCCAGCCGCGAGATACTGGCAGGTATTGCTGGTATACATCGGATTTGCATAGAAGTAACAGCCTGAGATAGTTCCTGGGGCAGTGGGTAGCAGTGTGGGCTCAATGAATTCGTAGCCGGGGTCACTGGTACTTGTGGGTATGGCTATGTTCGCGGCTGAAAACGTTGCGGGGGTCACGCTGATTGGCAGGAAACCCGAGACAGTATATTTAGGCAAGCTGGTGATAGAGCCAGCTGGCTTGATACAGTATGCCTCACATAGCTCCATGTTTGTACAGTTCTGGTTTATCTCTGGGTTTAGAAAGTAGAAATCGGTTAGAGAGATGGACTGAGCTAGTAAGACCCGAGCACAATCGTCCCCTTCAAGCACCTATAGCCAAGTTAACTGAGATACATGAGATGTGGACAGGAAACATGGCAGCTTATACCGTGTACCACTAACTACACCTCTGATTGCTTGACTTGGTCCTCATCCAACAAAACATTGCCAATCTAAATTAGCATTTAAATCAAAGTAAATATGGCACACTCACTTCGGAGGCACAGCAGGAAGAAATGGCGGACAGGTAACATTAGTAGCTAAAGCCTCTTTGCACTCATCGCTGAGCCCAGGGTAATTGACAAGCATCTGGGTACCAGCGGGCTGTTGCCCTTGCGCCGACGCAGCCAGCAGGGCAATAATGCCAGTCCATAGCCCTTGCATACTTGTGTTGATGAGAACGATAAACGCGCAATGGGCTCCGGCGAAGGAACGATCCAAAGGGCAAAGAAAAGTAAGTCTATTTAGCAGGGACCTGAGTGACCGAGAACCACAAAGATTCAACATCCCGTTGATCAAAAATGTGCTTGTCGGCTGATCCTGGGGGACTTTCCGGTGACAAGGGGGTATCGAATCACTCACAGAAAATCGACCGTTGCCCTTGTCGTGTTTGGAGGCTTGTCCGGGGACATGGGTGGGGGGGGGGGGGGAAGCTTTCCGACAGGGCGAGTTTCCTTGGCTATCCAATCTGGACCCTGAGGCTTGAGCTAAGTTCCTAGTCTACTCAATATGTAAGGTAGTAATAGACTAGAGTACCGGCAGGTGGAGATTGATGCTGCTCAAGCGAGCAGAGTATAATTAGACGAGGTCCATGCATTCACAGGTGGCCAAATACCCACCCTGCTCAGGAAGGAGCCCAACTTAACTTATGGTGGCTACCTCCTACGGTACCTATCCATGGATCCATGATCACCCATGGTAGATCTAGTCACTTTCTTAGCGGGGCCCGGCGTTCCTTAGCGTATGTTAATTGGATCCGGACCGGTCCGACAGGACGATCTTCAACCATTCGATCGTGACAGGGCTTCAGCTAATTTTGCGCCCTCCGCATCTCCGAGATTTTGTGTCAACATTTGGGTAAGTGACAGAGATAGCGTGAGGTATCGTCTATGATTGGCTATCATCACGCACGTTCGGAAAGATTCCGTGCACGGTGTAACCTTACTCTTCGTTTTTTGAATCTTACCCCCCCTGGCGATCGGCCCACTACAGTAGTTGTCAGGGGCATCGTAACCAAGACGATGCTCACTGATTCGCCATTGAAGAGAGAAACCTAGGTTCCAAGCCAGCATCGCCTGACATGGCTCATGTACCAGAGCATATCCAGCATGGGGCCACATACTCCAGTACTTGCCTTGGCTGCACTTTCAACTCTCCTGCTGGTGCGAAAGTACTCGGACTTTCCACTAGTTCAGTAGACAGGGGCCAGAAGCGCTTTCCCGAAGCTATTCTGACACCGTCTCGGTAGCAAGGTGACTCTTGTGCTGCGAAGGAACTACCTCATTATCGGGGGAAACCTGTCAACGCAGGCTCCGGGACAGAGTGCCCTAGCCCTTCTGATGCTTGTGTGACTGGAAACATCAATACTTGAAACACACCACCTGAGAAGGCTATCTCTCGTCAGCTCAGTGGTTGCTGAGCCTCTTACACGAAGGTTTTAGACTGTTATAGCTAAGATGATATAGGTTACAGAGTACGATCATTCTAGAGAGGTAAAAACTTCTGTTTGAGTGGAGATAAAATGGTACAATTCAAGTATAACTTACAACTTTCCGTTGCCTGACTGCTATTCAACAATTCATTTATGAAGACATGGCACGGCTTTGCACACGGACTAATGTCATCAATCCGTCAGACTACTCCTTGCCTCCTGTTCCTCCTGCGCCAAGCGAGCTGCAGCAAATTCGGACCATCGATAATTCCTTTCTCTTCCATCTTTCAGTCTCGGCATGTAATCGACTGGGACCTGGCTCCCGTCAGGACCCGTAACAGTAGGACGATTCTTTCTGGTTTGCCCATTACTAGGGCTCGCTGACCAAAGACCTAAGTTGTAGAGCCTCCATCGGTCCCAGAAAACCAATCCTAGTCCGAGTAGTGGTCGAGGATCTAGAAGAGAGCCTGTTTGGAACATAGCCGGACGTTCATATGCCTCATATGTCGGCAGCATCATCCATAGATTACCAATATTTCGTTCTTGCACAGCACAGATAGTGTTGCCCCATTGTCCCAAAACAGGCTTGCACGTATCCTCCTCGGGAGACGAGAGAGGTGGGGGACTCCAAACCCCGAAGCTGCGGAAAGCAATGGCTTGAGAACCATCGCTACCTTGGGGATCCTGGCGCCTGAGAGACAATGCATCGGGCAGCTCCAGCCAAAACCGTAGATAAAAGCTATCGAGGTTGGCACTCAGGGGTTCCGATAGGTTTGGATGGGGACAAATATCCTGCAGACACTCCGACACAGCCCGCATTTCATCCCCGGTGGGTTCTCCGTCTGGCGTTGGCCCGCGTTCAGGCCTTTCGGAAGGGATATCAAAGTCCGAGACTCGTAGATGGAGATGGAGCTCGCTGAGAGACCAGCCTATCTGGGGGACGATTTTCCAAACATCCGAATACAGCTGTAGATGCCACAAGGCTCGGTAAACACGGTACTCTTCCGCCCACGATGAAGGACCGGCTTCTTGCGGTGGGTATGGCTCTTCCCCCTTTAGCCTCCCGGCCGCATCCCTTCCGTAGCCTATTGGTTGCACCGCCCGGGTGCGTGCCAGAAAAGTGGTTAAGCAGGCGCATGCCAGTCGCTGGATATTGGCTGCAACCCGGACCATGTCCCGCAGCACAATGCCGGTCACAGAGCTGGGGCTCAGAGGTGAGGAATAGTCCTGCGCCATAAACTCGGCTAGAGTCAGATTGCATCCGGAGGAGAAGGAAGAGCGCCGGAGATCCGCACACATCCGGAAGAACCGGTGCAGTTGATGGCTCGTGATGGGGTTTATCCGCAGAATGCTCTCAACGAGGTGGATAGCACCAGGGTGGGCTTGACCTGAACCTTCCTCCGGGTTGAACAATAGGGCAATGTGTGACGAAACTTGAATCAGGCTGTCAAGCCCAACCCAATCAGCGGCTTCCTCGCTGATTGAAGATATGAGCTCATGAGGTAGGGCGCTAAAAGGGTCCATGTTTGGGATGAAAAGAGCATACAAGGTGTAATTGGCGCTACCAAGCTGATGATAAGGGGGAAAAAACCGTCCAGATGTTGCTGTCTGGGCTCTCAAAAAGGGCCTGCAAGCCAAGATAACGCCAAGAAAAGACTAATCAAGACTATTGAAAGAGAAAGGGGACTTGTTTTAGCCCCGCTTGAACAGGAGCGGGGCGGAACCGGACAAACTCCGGCCCCTGCTCAACGGCGGCTGTTGCCGAGATTCCCGCCACCGATGGTGATCTATCTGTAAGACCGTTCCTAGTGTCTCGATCCCAGATACTGTATATACTAGCAATGCTGTCATTCCCTCATCGAGGATACCATTTCATTTTTCAGTCATGGAGCGGTTGCAGTCTCTCGGCAAGTGACCACTGCCTCTGCCTGTGCAGCTCAATGTGCCACACTATCTACGTGTCAAGCCTGGCTATACTCCACCTCGGGGCAGGAATGCCAACAGTATCGCGAGCAGCCCGTCTCCAAGGACTATAACCCGCTATTCGTGTCCGGGAGCTGTCAAAGGCCAGCAGCAGTCTTGCCGGCCTCATCAATTGCCCTTCCCTCTGCCTCCTCCGGAATCCCGACCGCCTCTCTATATGCAGTGAGTTTTCTGAGATTTTTCTTCTTTTAATCCTCTTATCAATGCCTATACCTCCCTACTAACATGACAAATTCTGTAGTACAAAGACCTGAAGAGTCGTCTGCTGCGATCATCAAGCGCGGGCCTACTTCGCATCATCACCATACACATCGTAATGGTCATTCTTCTCACTGAACAGGCACATTACCCAGCATCGGCTTAGTCTCGCCCAATGCATAATTTTCTGCGAGTTATCTTCAGCTATTCCTCTTCAGCTCTTGGTTAAACCGATATTCTTCTGGGTTTGGCTTTGCAGTGTCCGACTGTATCTGTGCATGTAAGGTCGAAAGCCTTCGTAGGATACCAACCAATCTAGCCAATTGCATGTTTATTGTACACCAGAACAAGCTTTCTCTCTATATGATAACGATATTTGTGTAGGCTGTTTGTTGATAATGAAGCAAATTCACTAGCTAGAGTACTTGCTGCTCGCTGCATACCCATCTCTAAGGACTTTACTTTAGTCTTATACACCAAACACATCTCTTCTTCGAATCTTTTCGAAGATCTTGAAATAAATATATTTTTCGATGGATATCTAACTATAATCTACTACCGAACCTTTCACGCGTCACTAATCACAGTAAAAATACATAAAAGGTAGTAACATGGCTCAAGAGTATAAATAGCTCCCTGAGTTCTGTGTAAAGTACCGGCTTCCCCACCGCCTGCGTTGCTTGGCTCCGTTCACTATAACACGCACTGCTTCCACCCCCTTCTACTTGAGATATTTCTGGATGATCGTGCAGGATACCCTTGCTTAATGCCCGGAACCCTTTACGCGACCCCGACAATCAGCCATGACCATGCCAGCTCCAGACCGCGGGCCTATCTCTTCTCTCCTGGTGGGCAAATGCCAAACTTGTCGCAGACTACCTGCTCAAGAGGGGCTGCAATCCCGCGACGCTGCTTCCCGGGTGAGGACATGCTCTGATGCTTGGAGGACACTGCCCTATGCTTCGGCGCGACGGGTTCTGCTTTGTGGAAAAAAGGTACGCTGGCGCCGCTCTTGGATATTGCGTTTTCAATGTAGAGGATTGGATGTGATATCGTGGTCCGCGGGCGACTTGGGCATCTGGACGTAACGGTATTTAGCTAAGACATGGATGAGCAATCTGACTGGAAGGAGATGAGATACCAAGAGATTAGTAGTATTCGGGCTCCCTGTGGATGGCTTCTGGAGTGGTGCGGCCAAGACTCTGGCCGCAAACACTGCTGAGAAGGATCAAGGAAGTAGAGAGCTTCATGTTATGATGACTAGGATGAATGTAAATTCCAAGCGCAGATTTTGGAAGGGCGACACGGGTCTGCTAATACGTATGCAGCTCCGGTTCATAAGATCATGTTCGTCACGGATTATGGCTAGCGGAGGATATATGCAGGGTAGCGGTGATGTTAATTACCTAGCTTGAAGAGTATGTCCGTTCTATTGACAGAATATTCTATACGGCTCGAGGCTCCTGAAAGGCGCGTTCATGTATGTGAAAGGAGGACAGCCGCTGATCCAGATTTGATTGCGGCAATCATTATATTTTTTAACACCTTAGATATGACCTGTCATATGCTGGTCGGCGGGATAGATGTAGCAGTGGCGTCTCCGTACAGAGTTGGAATTCGTAGTTTAAGTCTTCTTTGGAGATTAATATACAGAATATCAAATCAAGGTATTTTAACAGAGCATTTGACTATTCCTTTACGCAGAATTTCCGATATATATCTCGCTAATGCAATATATATTTACAAAAGGACTACTTTAATCTCGTTTGTCATAAAATCTCTTACAATTTCTGCTTTATCATCTGAGAACACACTAGATCTAGAGAAAACCTTTGTCTTAGGACAAAAAGAAGATTGACCTTGCGTAGATATAAGGGATAAATTAATATAATATACAGTATAAAAAGCCAAGGGCCTATACTTTATGTGAGGCCCTGCGCATGTTATAATTCTTGTGTTATTTCGTGATGATACAGCTCTGTGGCGGTATCATGTTAACCCCTACTGGCGCTTGTTACTAGCCTTGTAATTTATGCATGAGACTCTTCCACATTTAAGCATTTACTCGTCCCGTGTTTATCTCTCTATTTCAAAACCTAGTTTGTCTAAGCTATTTATCAACAGCCCTATGTCCCCTAGCTAGAATATTTTCCGCCCCCCTATGCAAATGTGCATGTTTTTGCTTAGATATGCTTATATGGTCAGAGAAAGCTTACATATTTATTGAGATATTCTTTTATTTATATTCCACGGGCTACTATAATCTCCTGCTATTCTGTTCATAACATGCTATTCTCAACAGTAAGGGTGATGAATGTGTAATAACCGATTAGCAAAGGAAGTACAGATATTCTGCAAGCCTTTTGTAGGAGACCAGTCATCCTGCGCCCGTCATCTGATTCTTACTAATTTAGTCCTTGATGGTTCTTCCTTTCGGTGATATCCGTGCGAAGTACCCTCGCCCACACTCGGCCCCGACATCATCATGATCACGAGAAGCAGAATGCAAACCCTACCTTGTTTCCTAGTATCTGTGGCAGTTTACTGGGAGCCTCAACTCAGCCCAGAAGCTCAGGAAGCCCGGCAACAGGGACCCCAAGAAGTAGTGTCCTGGGTAGGGAGAGGTCTCGACGCTGCGCCGGGCGGGAGGGGGGCGCCGCCTAATACTCCAGTGGGGCTGCTGCCCTCTATTTTGGCGGAACGGGTACGGAGAGTTCGATGGGTCCGCTCCCATGGCCTGCAGGCAAGAAGACGGTATATTTGGTCGTTGGCTCCTCGTACTTGTGGACTTGGGCACATTGCCATATTGACGCTTGTACGAGTTATGCGTCCCTAAGTCACTTACCTCGAGATCAGTAGTATCTAACTCCTGTGGCGAGGCTTTGAATGCATCCGGCCTTGAGGCCGCTGATAAACAAGAAAGTAGGAAATATCAATTCATGAGCGATAGATCAGCATTCCGAGTATTGTCTGCGAAGAGCGGGAGGGTCTATTTAAGTGCAGCTCCATTTTTCAAGATAGATATGAGGTCAGAGGAGAGTTCATGTAGGCTAGTGGTTGAAGTAACCTAGAATATCGCTATGCTATCCGAAAGATGTCATTCGTCAATATGGGTCCCTTGTAGCCTATCCACGTACGCAAAAGGGTTGTCGGCCGTGATCCAGAACACCGTCCTAGAGATCTTGTGCTGATACTTGATAAGCAGATCTGCAAGCTTTTCATCAACTGATTCAGGTCTGTTACTCGTATGTGATATGCCGGGGCCGTATTTGCATGTTCCAGTTGTGTAGTGTGGGACCCGTATAAGGGTGGGTATAGTAGATAAGATCCAAGGATCTCATAGATGTATGAGATATCATCGTACATGGGTCTGGACTAGTGAAGGAACTTTCCAGGGAAAGGACGGCACATGATCTTGCGAGCCCTATGTGACCATGTTCGTTGGAATTGTGTCTTCACTCTGCTGTTCACCTATCGTCTAACAAGGTGATTCAGCGTGGCAATGGACACAATCAAAATATGAAGCGGTAAGTACTTTATCTTTCAGCCTTACTCAAGTTCGGAGGTATTTTTTGCTAAATGGGTTTATCACGATGGCAAGTTCCACCTCCGACCTGAAGGCCGATCCCGCAAACGAGCTGTCGGTGGCTGGAGCTTGCCGATCGCATTTTCGTAATTTCGGCTATGTTTTCCGCATAAGTCATGGCAATTGTGAATAAAGAGGCCCCAAAGCCAAGCGATCACTGGCGGTGTGTAAATCTCATCGCTACTGATGGCTTCAATTGGGACAAGTCCAGAGACTGTCCATAGATGACTCGATGAACTGTGGGCTATTCGTTCAGCTAACTGAGAACCCCGCACTCCTATAGCAGCCCATTTGCTCGGTAGTGGAACCATCAATCGAAGCTCGCAACAAGCTAGTCTCATGCAAGCCAGAAATCGAATCTAGATAAGAGATCCCCACACTGACTGCTGCTGCAGGTCATTGATTGATCTGGGCCGATTCCACTTGACGGACCTCTCCGTCTTGACATCTATGCACGCATGCCCAACCATTCCTGTCGAACGAATAAGATCCGATCATCCAACCTGCACGCATAACGAGTGAATGTACGTATGCCTGAGCGTTGCTGAGCTGGATAAGTTCTCCGACTGGATACGCAACGGCTGAATATGTCTGCACATGAGAATGAGTGGAGACCGGTCCACATTCCCTTAGGGATCCGCTTCAGCTCAGCTCCCCTTCAGCTCGCCTCCTATCTAGGCTGGATTCGGCTGTTCCGTAATTAGCGAGCCGAAATGGATCACTTAATATAAATAGGGCCACAAGAGGCCGAAGGGATCCATGTTGCGCCCTTCATTTTTGTGCCGCTATACAAAAACCACCAACCCTAACCAACCAACCCTCACATACTACACAATGCCACCCTGTTTGTCGGTATGTAATCCAAATAACCGTGCGACATACTCTACAACATGCTAAAAGATACACCAAGGGCTGCCGAAATGGCAAATGGACCTGTCAATGCACGAATGGCACGTGGACGTGCGATAATTGCAACGGCTCCGGCGACACTGGTACGAGTATGGAACATCAGGCGTTCTACCTGGCGCGAAATATAGTGAAGCTGGGCAAGGCTCGGGGCAATTGCGGAGTGTGTCGTGGGACCGGTCGTAAGGTAGGAAACACCCCCAGGGCTGTTCCAAGTCAAGGTTCCCTGAATGAACTGACAATTCACGAAATAACAGACATGCCACACATGTCAGGGCACGCATCTCAAGAACTGCAATACATGCGGTGGCACGGGATAGGATGCGGGTGGGGAGGCGGAGTATTATTCAGATTAAATGATAGAGTTACAGCCATTTATCCAAGACCTTGTGAGACACCGAGGAGGGGAAGACCGTCCGTCCTTCATGATTGATCGAGAAACCGACAGGGAGCTTGTTTAATCATGGATGTCACTCCCTCGATGTCGCGTATATCTGCTTAAGGAACCTTCCTATTTTACTACGATAAACCATGTATTTAGCACTAGGCTTCTACGAGGTGACCTCAATATGGATTTCACGCCGCAATAGCTTAATTTGCAGTGGGTTCCTGATAGAACTCCAACAATACGCTTCAAGGCATACACTACTTGTATGATTCGTCCGACTTGTTTGCAGTTTCTTCTTATCTTGTATGGAAGCTCATAGCAGTACCACAAACAGGGTAAATCTAATAGCAATAAAAACAGCCGAGCCAGGGACTGCCCCGTGGTCGGGCGAGACGGGGTTGTGGAGGATCGGCGCGCTCGCATCGCTTCCCGGCAGAGTATTGATGGCCCCGTGGCCTGTGGGTTGCCCGTGCATCTGGACATATCAATGCATCAGCTGATATTCAGGGAGACTACAGCACTCGATCACTGACTAGGATATTAGTGGCATCCGAGTTTCCCTAGAGGGAAACGGCGCAGCCAGGACGCCGACTGCGAGACCGCTGAGAAAGAAGATAGTAGGAAACTTCATGTTGCTAGTGATGTATATGAATACAGGTCTGAATGGAACACAGTCTCCGAGAAGAGTGGCCAGGGACGTCTCGAAATAGTATTCGGTTTCCTGGACCTGCTGTGGGGAATGCACGACCAGAGGGGAGAACACATTATGATTGACAATTAGACTCGGTCCAACCTGTGGGGAGACAAGGGTGGCCGATCGTCTAAATAGCACATTATAAGGTTTAGCCATTACTCGCACGCACCTATCGTACTGCGTATTGTTGTACGGAGCACGTAAGCCATAGCTGAACTTTAATGACAAAATAATCTCAGTATCATGGGACCGTCACAGAATGTTTCTGCACGTCAAAAGGGTATGCACGCCGATCTAGAGCTCGCTGCGGCAAATGCGAGAGTCGATGCCCAGCGATCCGATGCGCAGTCATCTCCACTGGCATAATTCAAGTTGGATGATCGAGTCTACCATAACGTGATCAGCGAGATCGCGGGAAAGATGCCAAGCGATATTGGTAAAGTCGTCCTCGTACCCTAGATTTTTATCGCCGCACCTCGGTATTTCTCTTGCTTTCTCTCTCCCTCTCTCTCTCTCTCTCTCTCCGCATGGCATGCTTAGAGACATAACCTGCCAGTACATACACTAGGCCATCTAGACAAGACGGTGACCACCACTAAGCCAACTACAATCCGAGGCCTCATGCTACCCCGCCCTACTTCAAATACAGAAGCCAAATTCGTCGCAGACTACCCCGTCAATGTGGCCTGCAATTCCTCGACGCTGCTCCCGTGAGGAGGTCGTGGTCTTTTGCTCGGAAGTGAGCGCCCTATCGGCAAGGGGGGGCGGTAGATTGACTCCAGGCAAGGCGCCAGAGATGGTACCCACGAGCTACTCGTTGCATCCGGACACATCAGTACTCCATAACCAAGGGACGTTCATGCAAATGCGATCACGGGAGGGGTCACTTACCGGGGGATCGATGGCATCGACGCTTTCCATGGCGGAGTTCTGATGTGGTGCTGCCAGAACGCCGGCTAGGAGACCGCTGATGAGGATTAGGGCATTAGGGAACTTCATATTGCCAGCGAAAAATAGAATCTTCTGATGCTGGCCTCTCAAATGGTGGCGAGGGGAAGGGGTGCAAGCTCGGTTTAAATAAGGTCGCGGGGCCTTTAGTGAAGAGCGGCTCAGGGGCGGCACTGTATACTTTCAGGGTATCGCCAATGAGACTGGTCAAGCACAGTATGTACTGAGGTACGCACCAATGATATCTTCTTGACAGACGTCAAGGAACCCCTTACATACCTCTTACATAGAATCATGGGCGCTGATCTCCAGCCCCTGGCCGCGGATCGCGGCCAGCGATCTCGGGCACCGTCTCCCAAAACAGTCGAAAGTTGGTGATATATCAGTTCCAACCCACTTGTTGCGTTTTCATGGATGTGGTCTCACAAAGCGCTATGCTACGGATATCTTCCCATTTATAAGCGGATTCAGGGCTCTGAACAAAACACACAGCATAGTAGTAAGACTACGTGAATTTGTTTCGCCCGTTATGACTTCCTTTCTCGATTTACTACGTATCGATTTCTTTTTCCAAGCAATGTTCTGTCATAGTTCCCGTTAGGGTTCCGGGGCCGGTAGCTGAGCGATGATCGAATGGGTTTTATCTAGGGAGTCGTATTCAACCTGAATCTTATGTAGAATTTACTCAGGGCCTTGAAGAATATATCAGTTCTAACATTCTCAATAATACAATCTTGATTATGTGTGATAATCAAGATATTCATTTTTGCTGTACGCACCGGTAGTCTGATTGGCCAGCTAGTAGATGTATGAGGAGTAGTAAGTTACGTACTGTATCGTATGGGGCTGGATGTGGAGCTCTGTACTTTACATGACATGGTAATACCGACCAAGCTTCGTAATTTACAGCTCCTGAGCTCCACCGCAGCGGGGCCTTGCCGAGCCCGCGACAGCCCGCGACAGCCCACCGCAGCGGGGCCGGGTAAGCGAGCGGAGCCTGGTCTGTGCTGATTGCTTGTTTCTTCTCTTTTTCTCCCTTAAATAATGCCCTTGATGGGATACATTGACATCATATCAGGGAGAACATCTTATACCTTCCCCCACCGACTTCCCGAGAGATGGGCTGCGGTCGGTCTTATTCCAGCTTCTTTGTTCTAGATCATGTGCCGGGCTGAGGTCCCTTCCACTACAAGGTGATGTGTCAGAGACGAGGAGCGGAGTCTGAGCGGGCTGTCCTCGTCTTCTTCTGCCGCAGTCTTATGCCTAACATGTTACTTGTCCCGCTCATTGTGTGGCAGGTGGTATCCGCCCGCAGACAACAATTGGAAGCTACATTAGCGCATTTTGGCCACTCAGCAACAGTCAAACTACAAGTTTTTCCCATGAGAAGAATCAGTAATTGACCATTCTCCAACGAGTACTAGCCCAGTGTCCTCGCCATCACGATAATCATCCGTTGACAATCCACACAAGATTTCACACCCGATTGACTTGTGTTAGATTCGCACGAATATTGGAGATCCACCAACAACACAACCAAGCTCACGATTCACCCATTACCAATGCCAACCTAGCGCTACTACTCCCAACCACCAACCTACATCCTCCCCCTAACCTCCCCGGTACCTCCCCCACCCCCAGCCAACCCATCCACCGCCCTAATCAACGCATAAACCGTCTCCAGCACAGGCACATCGACCCCAACCCTCCTCGCCCGCCCCACCACCGTCCCAATAATGACATCCACCTCCATGCGCCGCCCCAACTCCCGATCAGTCTGCATACTCGTCCGCACCGCCCCGAGCCCCTGCATTCGGGCGATCTGCTCCTCGACCAGGGCCTCGCGCAAGGCCACGCCGGACGCGTGCGCCACGCGCACCACCTCGCGCATCAGCCGCTTGGTCAGCGGCAGCGCCTCCTCCGAGGAGCGCAGCCAGGCCTGGCAGTCCTGCGCCGTCAGGGTGGTCAGCGTGTTCCAGGCGCAGTTCCACATCAGCTTCTCCCAGCGGGTGCGCTGCAGGGCGTCCGGCGCGAGCGGGGTCAGCGGCGTCGGGTGCGGGTTCGCCGGGGCGCTGAGGAGGTCGATGAAGGTCGAGAGACTCGGGACTGCGGAGGGGTTGGTGGGCGGGTAGAGCCCCAGTTGCGTCGCTTCGGAGGTCGTGTGCGTTGTTGTTCCCGGGGTGGGCTGGTGGGCTCCTACCCATGTCTTTCCATTTCGAAGATCAGTATCGGTGTGTCAAGTGAGAGAGATATTCCCCGGGGGGGGGGATCAGATTGCAGTATCTCTTCCAGTGTGGGACCAGATAGAGAACGGTAGGGGGAATACGCACCACGCACGAGATGATCGGGTTCTCGGCATACAGGCGCCGGAACGGCTCTTCGTTGCCCACCCCGTTCTGGATGATCACGATCGCGGTGCGGTCCGTGATGGCTGGCGCGAGGACGCGGGCGACGGCGTCCACGTCGATGGCCTTGTTTGTGCAGACGACGTAGTCGAATGTGGCGGAGTCTGGGGTGATTTCCGAGGGCGAGCGGATTACTGTGCCGTCGTTAGCATCCAGGTGGTTTTCCTCTGGGCGGATGGTGAATGCTTACCGCGGTCCGGGTGGAAGCGGTGCTCGCCGTGGTTGGCGCTTTTCAGCAGGACGCCCTATTCGTTGTTAGACATTTGCATTCAGCGAGTTTCATTTCAGCGAGAAATTCGAGAAAGGGGGTGTACATTCTCCTTGACAGCCCCGTAATTCGAGCGAGCGACGACCGTCAGACGAACGCGGGGACAGCTGCGCAGGATGAAGGCGTAGAAGGAGCCGATGCTGGTTTTGAATCAGTCAATTCCTGTTGGTTCGGGGATGGTGGATGCTCACGCGCCGAGGCCAAAGAGGAGGACTTCGATCTTGTCAGACATTGTGAGATTATTTTCCAGCACAGGTGCAGACACCTGCAGGCGATGTAGAAGATATGGGGTCGACTGGGGGCGGGGAAACGTGGGGGTGCATGGCAAGGAGCAGCATCCCGTGCGGGGGTCGGTCCAATTCCGGCGGGTTTCTGTCCGAGTGAGCTGACATCCCACGTTGACCCATTGCCCCTTTGCCCCTTTGCCCCTGGACAATGAGTTACTACTAGCTGACAGGCTCACCAGTTCTAAGACACATTGCCATCCGATTCAAGAATAAACAGGCCACAGATTGACCCAATGGTTGAGGAGCATAATCTAAACTTCACTGACACCAAATAGACCGACCATAAATCCTACATCTACATCTACATCAACCAACCCTCACTTCACCCCAACAAACCAAGGTATATATACCAGCCCCGTGCCTCAAAGCCCCCAGCTCCCACCCCAATTCCAACCCGTCAAACCCCTCACCCCATCAACCAATCCACAGAAATCACCTTAAAACATTCCGCACCCCCGTCTCCATCCACAACTTCGTATACTGCTTATGCAACCAAAACACATGCGCCGGCATGGGCGGCGCCCCAGCCCCGTCCGCACCCGTGTCGTTCTTCGTCCCCTTGAAGAAAACACTCTTCAGCCCGAACTCGGCAACGCCCTCCTCGGGCTTCACGACCGCCGAGATCTCAAACAGGCCGTCGGAGTCGCGCACCCCGGTCTTGCGGGGCGAGTCGCCGCACCGCACGACGATCCGCTCGGGGGTCTTCTCGACGACCTCGAAGTGGTCGGTGATGCGCGTGCCGACCTCGTAGGTGGCGGAGCGCAGCTGCTCCCGGGTCCAGAGGTCCGTGGCCGTGGCCGGGGATTCGTATTTCTTGGAGAGGTAGCGGCGTTGGTAGGCGTATCCTAACATTATCGGAGGGATTAGTATTGTAGGTGGAAGGATTGGGAATTGGGGAAAAGGGAAGGGAAGGGAGGTGGTGCGCTAGCTAGGGAGGTAGCAAGCGAGCTGGCGCAAGGAAGGAGAACTCACCCCAACCACTCCACACGCCCGCGCAGAACGCCTCGGTCAATTTGCCCTTCTTCTCCAGCAGCGAGGGGTTGATGTCGGCCAGCCGCACGCGGCGGATGCACAGGTCGTGGCTCGTGGGGTTGTTGTGCGGGTTCAACGTCTGATAGCCGGGCGTGTGGAAGATGGGGTCGGTGGTGGGGAGGGGGACGAAGGTGGAGTTGCGCGTGGCGAAGAAGAAGGCGCCCAGGGTGGCGGTGCCGCCGATGGTGGTGAGTTTGAGGGCGCGGCGGATGAGGCCCATTGTGTGTGTTGTGATGCGCGAGAGTGGTTGGTGGTTAGGGAGGTGGTACGGTAGATGGTGGTTTTGGTGACGGTGACGTTGACGGTTGACGGGAGGGAAGGTTGAGTGAGATCATCGGTTGCGGGAGCGGAGGAGCGCCTCGGATCGGATTTACTCCGGTTGCGGTAGCCGGATATCTTTTCAGTTGCTGTGCTTTGTCTACTAGTATTGAATCTTCAGTGTTTCGATCAGAATAATGTACAATGCTGAGAAAGAGCTAAAAGAACAATCTGTTTTGATCGAATGATTTAAACACTAGCATCCACCATGGTATCTCTCTATCCCGGACAGAAACAAACCAACCCACCCAGAATCTGTACAGGGCAAACAAAATATAAACATCGAAGAACCAGAGCCTCACTCTGTCCCTCCTCAACACCTAAGGTCTGGGCCACCTCCCCATCCAATCCCTAACATAGCGTCCCAGAATCCCATCCTCGACGATTCTCAACCTCCCATTCCGCAGGGTAACACTATCCCTCTCCGCCCGGTCCGTACAGAACCCAGGCTCCTTTCTGCCGTCTGCATACATCGCCTCATAATGCCCCACCAACTTGACCGCAGGGTTCACCCCCTCCTCCCCGCGCGCCTCGCTCTCCCGCAACCGTTCCAACCACTCCGCAAAACCCACCGTCCGGAACCCATCGAACCCGCACCTCTTCAGCCCCTTCAGTAGGTGTTCCCACTCGAACCGATGCGGATTCGTGAGGTTATACACGGAATCATCATCCTCCGACCAGCCATCCACCCTCTCCGCCTCGGAATTGGCGGAGGAGAAAGACCCCCGCCGCGACGCCGGCGGCGTATGCGAGCACACGGCGCGGGCGATCTCCAGCACGGCGGCGACGAGCTTATCGACCGGCAGCCACGCGCACTGCACCCCGTCCAAGCGCGGCAGACAGCCCAGCGTCAGCGCGGAGCGGAGCATCAGCGGCAGGGCCTCGGCGTCGTTCCACAGCCCGCGCTTCGAGTGGCCCGACACCTGGCCGATGCGGAGCGAGAACGCCCGCGCGGCCGCGGTGCGCCGCGCCGCGCTGACCATCCGCTCGCCGATCAGCTTCGAGCGCCCGTAGCCCATCTCCAGGGCATCGGAGAGATCGGCGACCGGGGATTCCGGGACGAGGGTTTGCGGGGAGCCCAGGGCCGTGGAGATGGAGCTGCAGTACAGTAATACGGCGGGGGCGGGGAGGGCGACGCTGAGGGAGAAGCGGAGGAGGTTGTGCAGGCCGCGGAGGTGGGGCTCGAAGGCGCTGAGCGGGAGGTTGAAGTTGACGGGCCATGCGGTGTGGATGACTAGCGAGACGGAGCGGAGCATTTCGTGGTAGACGTGCGGGTCGAGGCCGAGGTGCGCCTGGTCGAGCGCGCTGGTGAGGGCGACGATCTTGTGCGTGCGGAAGGCTGGCAGACTGAGGTGTTTTTGGGATAGGGAGGCGAGGATCGAGGCTTTCGCGTCGCTGCGCCGCGTCAGGCAGTAGACGCGCGAGACGGTGTCGTCGTTGACGAGCTTGTAGAGCGTGTGCGCGCCGATCGAGCCCGTTGGGCCGGTGAGAAGCTGGTTGCGCACATGTTAGCGCTGGCGCACGGGGGATAATAATGCTGCGGGGCTGGGTTAGGACTTACAACGCTCCGGGTGTTGGACACCTCCGCCGGACGAGGGGTGTGCACCGGGAACCCCGACGAGTATTTCTCGATCAGCGCCGGCATCATGGCCAGCTCGTCTTCGTCTGCGGCCACCCCCTCATCGGAGTGCCCGCTCTGCGCAGCGGAGATGCACTCCGCCAGACGGGCGATGCTGCCGGTCTCGAACACGATGTTGTGGCTGATGCTCCGGCTGCTCGCGAGGCGGAAGTCGCGCAGGATCAGCCGGCGCAGATGGATGGCTTTGAGGCTGTCCATGCCCTCGGCAAAGAAGTCCGTCTCGAGGTCGAGGCGGGGCATGGCCAGCTCCTCGCGGCAGAGACGCAGCAGGTGCTCCTCCGTGGCCTGCAGGTCCAGCTGCAGGGTGCCGTGCGCGTTCTGCTCCATGCGGTTGTACATCCCCTCAATCACCTCGGCGTATCGCGAGTACACCTGGGCGCGGATCATCGACCCCTTGTCCGTGCGGGGCACGACCCGGTCGGCGGCCAGCACCACGACCATGTCCCGGGAGATCTGCGAGAACTGCTCCGCGTGCGCGTTGGCGTCTTCCACCGTGGGCCAGACGAGGTCCAGGAACTCTGCGTCCGAGTATCGGTGCGAGCCGTCCGCCCGGAAGACGAGCAGGCCCGGCACCGACTGGCTCACGCCCACCACCACCGCCTCGTCGATCAGTGGGTTCTGCTTGATGCGGCCCTCAATCGGAAGCGGGAGGACCTTCTCGCCGTTCACCAGCGTGATCCGATCGTCGATGCGCGAGACGTACTTCCACCGGTCGGGGATGGAAGGGTGGGGCGTGAAGACGTCGCGCGAGTGATACGAACCAGGCGGATCATCGGAGTTCGAGGCGGTCAGGGCGGGATGTCCCTGGAGGTAGACGACTTCGTACAGCTCATCGCCGATGGGCTTCATCCAGATGAAGGGGCGGATGTTGTCGAAGAACTTCATGTAGTTCCAGTAGGGATCGTCGGCAGGGCGGGAGATCGACTCGGCCACTAGTCCGGCTTCCGTTCTGTACATCATTGATTATCAGCAACCGCAAACAAATCGCTGTCGAAGAAAAAAAAACTCACAGTCCGAAAGACCCGCCAAACTTCACCCCCTCTGCGACCAACCGATCGCCCAGCTCATCCGGACAAGGGGCGCCCCCGTACGTGACCGAGTCGCAGCGGCGCAGGACCTGCAACCCCCGAGGACTTTCGACCAAGAGCTGCAGGAGGTACGGTACGCCCTGCACGGACTCCGGACGGGCGGCCTCCAGGGCAGCGACCGCCGTGCGGGCTGTCAGCGGAAGTGAAGCGTCCCACATGTACGCGGTGCGGCGCATGTACATGGCCTGGAGCGCGGTGGAGAGCCCGTGAAGATGGAACCACGGAAGGGAGTTGAAGGAGGTGTAGCCCGGGCCACGCATGGGATGCGTCATCAGGGCCTTGTGGCTGAGGTACAGGGGTTTGGGGTTGCCGGTCGAGCCGGAGGAATGCAGGATCAGGGCGATCTTGTGGATTTGCGTCTCCGGGCTGCGGCTGCGGCGGAGCACCAGCATGGCCGGTTCCTCGACATCCTCGTCCAGCGAGGGTCGTTGCACGATGGGGCGACACGCCACCAGCTTCAGGCGCAGGATCTCCCCCATCGTGGTGCGGATGTTGGGGGCCTGGCCGTACAGGATGGTGTCACAGCCGACCATGTCGAGCAGGGCCACGCAGGCGGATGCCGATAGACGCGGGGACAGCATCATCACGGTGTAGCCGAGTCGGCTCAGGGCAAAGAATGTGACGACCATGTTCAGGTCGGAGAGCGTGAACAGCGCCACGATGGCGCCATCCTGGCGGGGCTGTCATTCGGTCAGCGTTGCTCGACCAGAGAGAATCGGTGACTTACTGGCTTGAAGCCATAGTCCATCAGCGTGCACACGGCTTGATCAACCATGCAATCCAGGTCCAACCCGGAGAAGTACTCGTACTCCACCGTATCGTCTTGGGAGGGTTTGGGGTAGGCAAGGATAGGATGCTGGATGGGGTCAGCTGCCCGTAGACGGATCAAGTCATCCAGCAGATGGAGACGACCGAAGCGGGCGATCAACTGTTCGGGCGAAGAGGGCTTGAGCCTCTCGTGGGAGGTCCCTTCATGATGAGGGATACCCATGGTGAAGAATCAGGGTGGTGTAGTGGGTCAGAATGATTTCGAAGAGGTATCACCGGGCGCGACATGAGTCTTTTAAACCTGAGGACGGCAGATGCGCGGTGTAAGAGGCATGGAACCCCGTCTCCGTACTGCCACTCGACGGAGCCACTTCGATACCCCGATTTGGGAACTTCACACATCCTTCAAGTTAGTAGCGGTAACTATACCAGTGGCAAGCCGGCTATGAAACCGACCCCTATAAATCCCGTGGCATCATAGATCCGAAGCGGTGAAATTTGGTATGCGGTCTGAATCAGGACTGGCTGTGGAGGATTTTCTTTTTTCGTATTTTGCCTTTTTTTTTTTTTTTTTTTTGTTTTTTTCTTGTTTTAATTTTTCTATTTTTTACCCTTGCTCTGGTGACCATGACGTGCGTGGGTCGGGGGGAGATGACGAGGAGAGGAGGGGAGAGTAGTGGAGAGTGACTGAGTACTCGTACTCCATAGTGCCGGCGCAGAAAGAGAAGCTCAAGCCCTAACTCTAACCCATCGCACGGGCCCAGATCGGGCCCAGCCCCATTAAGCACGATCGGGACGAGTCGCGTACTGACCCTATTTACCCAGTCTACTAGCAGTTCCCGTCGGTCAGGGCAGGTATCCGACTACTGAGGGTGATGGATGGCCGGTCACACTGCAGCGGCGACTGCACGAGCGGGTTGCCAGGCGATCGCCAGTGATGATGAAGGAGTTGCGTGAGACTGCATGATGCCGTCCACCTTTTTCTTTCTCGACCCTCGTCAACCTGCGTCTAGAAAGAGGGAAGTGGCCAGGATGCGCCCAGGATGTGACCAGGATGATGCTCCAGTCACCCAGGTTGTCGGCTCCAGGAACCTGGTTTCCCCTGGCCCTCCATCAGCCATCCAAAAAGCCCCACGGATCGATCGACGATCAATCTGGTTTTTTCCTTTTGGTGCCTAAAATGATGATGCTTATGACGAAGATTTATTACTTTCTCTGTCCACAATATCTCTCAGCACAGTGGGGAAATATGGTTCAGCCCAAGGGGGGCAGAAGAGGGGGGAAATGACAGATGTCTGCCAATGGAAGGTGAATCGCGGTGCGGTGGCAGGCAAGCGGAATGTGAGGGGAGACACAGGCCCACTGTTACGGGAAAGTCATACTGCGACAAGAATTAATGAATGACTGGTGTCTCCGTAACTGAATTCATCCTTGTCCACAAGCTTCCTTTTTAGCTTTGGGTTTTTCCTTGAATAGAAATTCAGACCACAAGAAATTTTGATGGTCCACTGGTTCGGTGGAGCTGACGGAGTGGCCGTGTGGCGAAGAGCTTACCGGCCAAGCTGAAGAAACTCCACTTGACTGGAAGAGGTCCACGGTTTATTCGGCGACACTACCGGAATTGGGCAGGGGGGGGGAGAAGAAGAAGAAAATAGTTCACGCAAGTTGGCGAAAAGGCACGAACTGCGCGTGCAGATAGGTGATTCTGCAGCAAAGGCGCCTATCTGAGTGTCTGGGTGGTGGTGGGTGTTGACTAAGTCCTTTTCTGCTGCAGGGTACTTTTGGCAAGCTGAAGGAATGACAAATTCTCCGCCTCACTTTGTACGGTCCCGCGTTGTACTTTGACTCCCTTTTGTCAGTCACAGTATCGCAAAGTGACAGATCATCCCGATCCAAAGTTGGACTCTGCTTTATCAAGAATTCGTCCCGGAGATGGCTCAATGGGTCAATTCTATCCGTAGATTCTCCGCCCAAGTAGGGGAGCTGAGTACGGGTGGAGACACGGCGACTATTGACTCACTCTGTTATTGGGTACCGTACAAATTGATCGAGGATCTATCCACAGGATACTCCGTACTAAAGACCACTTGAAGGAGGTAAATAGAGCCTTGCAATCTGATTCGCTCTCAGCAACTCCCCTCTAGTATAATACGACCCCATCGAGCCCTGAGATCTTCCGGAAAGGCTCGGGGAAGGCCTTCTTCCCGTTCCCTTCCCGCCATTATTGTCCTCAAACAATGGGCCCGACCCGTCCTTTTCCACTGGCCTATTCAATCAACAGCGCCTTGTCATGTTTGACACTCATCACTCCTCTCGACGATTTGCTTTCTTTTCCTCCCAGATGTCCAGGCCTCACCGAGTCTTCTGCTACTTGTTTGATCCTCTTTTTTCAGCCCGTCTGGACAAACTGATTGGATGGGGCAGGTAGGGGTAGATTCGAACCGCCACGCCCGGAAAAAGCAACAAGCAGCAGCAATATTGCGTCTTTCGCTGCATGAGCTATCCATTCGCCCAATCACTCTCTTGCAATTGGATGATCTCGTGTCGTCAGTCCCCCCCCCCCTCCATTTTCCCTCCACTGATCATCCCTGTGTAACAGAAAAGCAAAGAGAGAAAAAAAAATTCTTGAATCCTCGGTCCCACAGACCAGGGTGGTGGTCCATCCCGGCTTCGGCATCTCAATCATCTGACTGAGAGTCCATGTCTGGGACTTTTTGACCGTCCTTTGTTCATTTCTGGACTATGGTAAAAACAAAAAAAAAGGAAAAAAGGTCCTACTGTAAACCCTTCCGTCGGGTTTTTCGAGAATCAACCAAAGCCACAAATCGAGGCTGGTGATGAGGCCGGAAAAGAAAAGCAACGAAAAACCTATGATTCGGCAGCATCTATCCGGGTTTATCGCCTGCCTCGGTTGATCGTCCATCACCAAGACCATCAAGTAAGCACATGTTTAGACAAACGGAGTACCGGAGTACTGCCTTGAAGAAATCCTGAATCGCGGGGAACGTGCTGAGAACGAATCATGGAGGTGTTGACGATCTCTCAATCTGGTGGTTGCTCGCAGCTCGCTCGGTCGCTCGTTCGACTCGACTCATTTTCATCCGATTGACTTTCCAGGTGACCTGCGATCGCGACGCTATGAGCGTCTCCCCCTCCACTCAGCTGGTACAGCCCATTCGCTGCTCGCGGAGGTTGATCCATGGATATGGAGACGGGCTCCATACGAAGGAAGGGATCCATCGCGGCGGCTAAAACAACTACCAACAGACAGTCCTATCCAGGATCCCGGGATGAACTTGGGTCGTATCTCGCATGATCAGACGGGGTCCGTGGATGACCTCGTGTGAATGGTGGAAACTCGACTCGTGCATGCATTCTCTCCGCGTGAGAGAGGGGGGAAGTTCATCTACGTGACTTCAAGGTGATGCTATCTGTGTGCGACGAGACAGAGTGACGAGACACACCTGGCGGAGATGGGCGAGGATGACGACTTGCCCGATCTGTAGATCATTTGTGCAGCGTAGATGTCAGGTTTCCGATCGTGTGCGAATGTGATACTATCCCGGCGCAGAATGACGGACACCGTCTGGACGCTGTGGCGCTGTGTGGCGCTGGAGACCCCGGGAAGGAAGACGATTGGAAGCTTCTCTCCGAAGGAGGGATTGGCATTGATAACGCCCGATGGGGGGGTGGAATGCATCACGGTCGGATTCTTTCTGAGTCAGCTGTGTCTGGCTGGTTGTTCGCCCCATTGATGTAATCCCACTCGGCTGGCGTGCAAATATTCCTCAGCTTGCAGAATAGATTGAAGATACGAAGTATACTACATCACCGTGAACACCACCATTGAACCCAATGTGCTAATTCAGCTCCGAGGTATTGAGACAGAAAACCAGTTTCAACGTGCACCCATTCAACCCCCACAGAGATAATCCCTGTCTTGCAGCTTCACCTCCTGCTGGAAGTGCATCCAACGTGTAACACCGTCCCACGTAATCCGTCTACTCTCCCGTTTCGTTTCTGAAGCCCAAAAAGAAAAAAAAGACCACCCCCAAAACTAAATTAAATCTCCGAATCCTTCGCCCCCCTCCCCCCTCGCGGGGTCTAGCCCTGTCATCAGCAAATTATTGGAAACCCTATACCCTATACTGATAGAGTACCCCTACGCATCCGTCTTGCACGGATAGCTGCACGCATCAGGCCGCATCAAGGATACCCCCCCAGTGCAGGGTCCATCGATATAAAAGCCCTAGGGACCATGCCCGATAATTCACACCGCTGTTCACACCCCCCGAGATTCCTTCCACCGCTGGAAAAACCAAACCAACTGCTCAGACTTTGTTTTTTTTTTCCTGCCTGCGTATACTGCTGCCCTAGACACGCTGTAGACATTCTACAAACCTTGTCGAACTGCAATAACTGTCATTGCCATCCTGCCTGTGCATGAAGCATAGGCCCTCACTTCTTCTGGATTGTCTTTGCTTTTGCTAGCACCGGTCCAGCAACATGGCCCCGATTTCCCTTGGTGACAGCAGCAACAGCGGCCGCAGCAGCAGCAGCAACGAAGCTCCCACGCCCACCGCACCAGAATCCTTCCTCCCGCTCCTCGAGCAAATCAAGCAAGCCGTACTGCAGGAAGAGAGCCCCGACCGGACGGCCAAATCCCACTTCCAGCTGCTGGGACTGGTGGACCAGCTGCGCCTCGCTATTGAGAGCCCGACCGAGACGCTGCTGCGGTTAATCTACCAGGTGAGAGCCCTTGACACCTGGCAGCAGTAATCCCCGTTCGTCACTAACTACCCCAAAAAAGCCCCCGCAGAACGCTGCCCTCCGTACAGTGATGGACATGAACCTATTCCCACTGCTCATGGACCACCGTCCCGCCGGGCTGTCGGCGACCGCGCTGGCAGAGAAGACCGGCGCAGAGCGGGCGTTGATCGGTGCTTGACCCCACCCACATTTTCCAGACCAAGACAATAATCCACATGCCCTTACTGATGCTTGACGGTGTGCACAGTCCGACTCATGCGCGTGGTGGCCTCGTTAGGGCTATGCACGACCCCGACGGCGGAGCACTACGCCGCCAACGAGAAGACCGCCGCGCTGATCGCGCCCATTGGTCGGGACGGGGTGCCATGCATGTACGTTTACCCTTTACCTTCGTACCTATGCAGCAGCAGCAACATCTCTCCCCAAACCACCACCAAACCTACAGTCCCTCTCAAAACCAAGAAAAAACACTAACACCCCGCCCAAAGCTACGACCTAACACTACCAACCCTCTCCACCCTCCCGACCTACTTCGCCACGCACGCCTACACCACCCCCAAGGAATACGCGCAGGCGCCCATGAAATGGGCCGTCGGCGCCAGCCAGTTCGAGTGGCTGGCGGCCCACCAGCCGCGCCAGCAGCGGTTCAACTCGTACATGGCGAGTCGGCGCGCGGGGAAGCCCGAGTGGTTCGAGATGTATCCGGTGGCGCGGCTGACCGATCCGGCGTTGCCGGCACTCGAGGATGACCCGGAGGCGGTGTTGATAGTGGACGTGGGCGGGAACCAAGGGCACGATTTGCTCGCGTTTCAGGCCCGGTACGCCGATCTCCCCGGGCGGCGGGTGCTGCAGGATCTACCGAAGGTGGTGAAATGGGATGTCGGGAGCGGGATTGAGGCGATGGGGGTTAGCTTTCTGGAGGAGCAGGCTGTCAAAGGTACTTTCCCCTTCCCCTCCCCCCTCTCTCGGTGGAGCTTTGCTTGTGGGGCTGTGGTGGTGGTGGGTTGTGGTGGTGTATGGGGTTCACCCACCCCTTGCGACATCCAACTTTACGCCCCGGCTTAAAACTCGGTGAGCACCGCGGTCACCGGCCAAGTATATGCTAACGGTGGCAGCCGCACGAACCTACTACTTCCGTGCCATCTTCCACGACTGGCCCGACGCCACCTGCCTCCGCATCCTGCAGAACACCGTCGCCGCCATGGACCCCGCGCACTCGCGGGTGCTGATTGTTGACATGGTCCTGCCCGACACGGACGTGCCGCTGCTGCAGGCCTCGCTGGATATCCAGATGATGAGCATCGGGGCGGGCGTGGAGCGCTCGGAGCGCCAGTGGCGGGATCTGTTGGGGAAGGCCGGGCTGGAGGTGACGGGAATTTGGAATACGAATCCCGGGATGGAGTCGGTGATCGAGGCTGTTATCAAGCCAAGGCAGTAATCTTATTCTCTACGGTGGGCTATGGTTTGGGTATTTGTGGGGAGGAGGGGGGGGCGGGGGTGCTCTAGAGGCAAAGACAGTGATCGGTGTTTCAACTGTGAATAGGGTGGTGTCTGTGCGTCTCTGGAAATTACTGGTACATAACCTATCCGGGTAGGGAAGTTGATAGAGAGATAGATAGATGGGGATGGGGATGGTACAGGTATGAGGGGAGGTCGGCGTTAGGTTGACAGTTTGGTGTTGCGTGGGTTAGGGTTTTTTGACAGGTCCAATAAACTAAATTAGAAACTTTGTTTCCACCACTGATGCCTCCCTCATCCACCACCCAAACACGAAATTCCAGCACAATATCCAGAGTCTCCGGCGAACACGAAGTTGCCTTCAATCCTAGGAAACCTCCTTACTGAGTTTGAGGTGTTACAACAGCAGCAGCGCAGCCTCAATTGACTTCCTACCACCCTCCTCCAACTATCCCTCGACCGCAACGCACCAAAGAAAAAAGGTAACCGAACGTTACTAATTCCAACTCGGCTCCAAACCCCAGACCTCCAACCCATACACTTTCCGCCCCTTGCATAACCACCACCATCTTGCAACGTAACCCCCTCCAAATAGACTAAACACCTCACCTCAGTGCCGCCGCAGCGGTCACGATCGGTATCGGTATCGGGATCTTTCATCCGCCACGCACGCACCAACCACACAGCCTGCTCCTCGTCGCCACGGCACCCCCCCCCCCATCGTAGAACAAGCACTCCACGACGACCACGCAACCCCACCCCGAAAAGTGCATATGAATTGAATCCACGGCCAGCGTAGCTTGCCTTTCCGTCCTCTGACTTTTCCTCTGCACAACTAACAACTAACATCGTATTATCATGCTTTATTGGAGTTTGAGCCCCGAACCGATGGACCAAAGGTTGTCAGTTGGAGCTGTCATATTGGTTTACCGCAAGGGGGTGGCGGCGGCCGCGGCGCGGTCATGGGGTCACGGACTGGGAAGGTCGGTTTCACGGCACTCGAAGCCAGATGGGGGGACTACCTTCGCACCGTGAGAAGCACCGAGGGATGTGGAGGCTGGGTCGGAGACTGGACTGGATGGATGGGACTGGACTGGGCTGGTTACAGTAACTCATGTTTTGAATGGCGCCTTCTCGGTTCGTTTTGCTTCCGGATGGGTTGGAGAGAGAAGAGTCAGGGATACGGTGTGGACAAGCGCTGCATTGGCCCCTGGCTCTCGTGTCGAGGCTGCACTCGGTCGATGCTTCCTTCGAAATGGCATTGTGGCTATGTGGAACCGGACTGCTGATGAAACAAGCTGGTCATTGATTTTCCCTG